AGGATGCTCCCAGGCACCAAGCCTGTCTCTACCTCCCTGGCCATGATGCCAGTGGGGAAAGTTCAGGATAAATACCAGAAACATCTTCCTGGAAGCCACACACAAGCGCCTCTCTCCATCAGACATGAGGAGAGGAACAACTTTCTAAAATAATCTTACTCTGTTCTCTCTTTTCCAAAAAGATTATAAATTCACTTAAAAACAATTATCCCAGTTAGTATTTGTTCCATGTGAGGTCTGCCTCCAAAGGACTTGTGGAATACATTGTGTGTGTTTGTGCACATGGGTGTGCGTGTGAGTATGTATGAAAATTATAGGCTAGTGATAGCAATTGTGTAATAAATGCAGAAGAGATTGGATTTGTTGAGATTGCATGTTATTCTTTGCAGCAAGGACTGCCTTGTTGCTACAAAGGGTCTGAACACTTTCATGAAGGCTGAGCCAGGGTGTGAGTGGTGGTGGTGGTGGGTGAGCGTCACACAGGGCAGACCCCTGCACCCTTCCAGAATCAGACCCTCTCCCTCCCAAGGCCCCTTGAGTGTGTTGTTACTATTTCCAGTCCTTTACATGTCTTGGCCTCCTCACTCCCTGTCCACTGTGTTTGTCACTTACCACTGCTTCCAGCATCTTAGTCCTCAGTATTCTGTGTCTGGAATCAGGGAACACAGCCATAGGACTGGCCCTAGAATCATGCCCCAGCACCTGCCTGGTCTTCTGTTCCTTTCTCAGCAAGACAACAAATGCAATTTTTCTCAGCAAGACAACAAATGCAATTTTTCTCAGCAAGACAACAAATGCAATTTTTCTCAGCAAGACTACAAATGTAATTATTCACCAATTTCTGTCCATCCTAAGAAATGCCTCCAAAGTACTTTCACTCACTCTATTTACATTGACTTATACAAAATTTCTAGAACAATCCATGTCTGAAAGGGAAGCTTAGTGACAACATCAGAACAAGTGTCAGCTGAGTTGTGTGGCCTTTGACCTGTGTGTCCTAGAGGAAGGAGGAAGGCACTTTCCTTCAGGAGCCTTTCCCAGCAGGGGGCAGTCTGCAACATCCTTACTATTCTCTCCTGCATCCCACACAGGTTATGAAATTTGGGTTTCCTTTGCGTGAAATGTGCTGGCTGAGAAATACAGTGAAAAAAATCACATGACACAGAAATAATTTTGAGAAGCGAGGGTGGAACGGTTCTGCGACCTTAGGTTCCTGCTTCCACACTGGAAGGAGAGAGAGAGAGAGAGAGAGAGAGAGAGAGAGAGAGAGAGAGAGAGGAGCCTATGTTTTACATATTTATACAAGGGGGCTTCAAAGGATTTTAGTGGAATGTTCTTTTGCCAAATAAGGCAGGAGGGGGCCTGTACAAACCCAATGGGTAGTGCCCAAGTCTGGAGCTACAGAGCAGCCTCTCTAGTCGAGCAAGGACTGAGAGCACCATGTACTTCGCATAATAAGCCACAAAATGACTTGCAATACCAGACCAAAATCTCCTTGGCTCCAAGGCCAAATAGAGGCTATTAAGATAGCTTGGGGTGGCCCCCTACACAACATGCTGCTTTTATTTAGGAAAGCAGTTCACTAAAAAAAAAAAAAAAAAAGAATCTGAGTTTGTTAAAAGAATTGTGGGTGTCTTGTCCATAGCCCAGTTCTGCTATGCCAGAGGGTAGGTGGCAGATGGGCTAAAGAAAATGCCCAGAGACAACATGGGAGGCATGGTTTATTGGAGGAAGCTTAAAAGAGATCAAAAACTGTTCCAAGAAGAGTTCAGTGGTGACAAGCTAACAACACATCTTTCTGTTATGATTTAGATATTACAGGTCTCCCAAAAGCTCATGTGTGAGAAAATGCAAGAAAGTTTGGAAGTGAATTGATTGGGTCATGAGCATATTAATCAGTGAATTAATTCCCTGATAGGGATTAACTGGTTGGTAACTGTGGGCAGGTAGAGTGTGGCTGGAGTTGGTGGTTCACTGGGCGTGTCCCTTGAGGTATATATTTAGTCTGTGGTGAGAGGAATCTCTCTGCTTCCTAGTGCCATATCCCCAGGTGTTTTCTTCTGCCACACACTTCTGCCATGATGTTCTCTCTCACCTCAGATCCTGGCTGTCTATGGACTGATACCTCTGAAACTGTGAGCCCCATATAAACTTTTACTCCTCTCATTGTTCTTGTGAGTCTTTTGGTCTGGTCAGCGAAAAAGCTGACTAAAACACTGTTCCTCCCACTGTTTTGCCAAGGAGGGCCTCCTCCACAGTCTGTCCCGTGGCAGCCAGCTGGACCAGTGACATATACACAAAAAAGAACAAGGTTTGAGACTTGCTCTATTTCACTTCTTCAAGTTGGCAAAAGGATAAACGGCTATAACAAAAATATTCTGAAATGTAGATGCTTACAGAATACACAAATTTACATCACACTTAGTTGCCAAGGGCTTCGGCCCTGTACTGTCCTTTGGGTCCTTCCAAGTTGTTGTTCTATTTCTCTGTACTGTGCTTTGCCACTCAAAATGCCATCTAAGTGGTACAGAAAGCTCAGTCCTTGTTCCTGATGCCAACCCAATAATGAGAAAATGGTTTCGAGGAAAAGGAATAAGAAGTTTTATTACTTTCCTAGCAAAAAAGCAGGAAAAGCTTCTTTGACTCCAGTCCCAGAGACTATGAATCTGTCCATCAATGGAAACAGGTTTTTTTTTTTGTTGTTGTTGTTGTTATTTGTTGTTGCTGTTCTCTTTAGTTATACATGAAAGTAGAGTGCATTTTCACATATTATACATACATGGAGTATAACTTCCCATTCTTGAGATTGTAAAAGATGTGGAGTTACACTGGTTGTGTCTTCATATATGAAGGAACATAGAAAATTATGTCCGATTCATTCTGTCTTGTCTAATCCAATCAATTTCTATTCTTCCCTCCCCTACCCTTTTTAGTGTTAGCATTCACATATCAGAAAGAATGTTGGGTTTTGAGTTTTTTGGGGTATTGACTTATTTCACTTAGCATGATAATCTCCCGTTTCATCCATTTACTGGCAAATGCCATAATTTCATTTTTCTTTATGGCTACTATTCCATTGTGTATGGATACCACATTTTCTTTATCCATTCATCTGTTGAAGTGCAACTAGGTTGGTTCCATATTTTAACTATTATGAATTGAGCTTCTATGAATATTGATGTAACCGCATCACTATAGTATGCTGATTTTAAGTCCTTTGCATATATACCAAGGAGAGGGATAACTGGGTCAAATGGTTAGAACAAAGACATTCTAAAATACAGAATTCCAAGTTTTCTAAGGAATCTCCATACTGATTTCCAGAATGGTTGCACCAATTTGCAATTCTACCAGCAATTTATGAGTGTACCTTTCTCCCACATCCTCGCCAACATTTATTGTTACTTGTATTCTTGATAATTATCATTCTATTTGGAGTGAAATGAAATTTCAGTGTAGTTTTAACTTGCATTTCTCTAATTGCTAGAGATGTTGAGCATTTTTCATGTATTTGTTGATGACTTGTATTTCTTTTTCTATTAACTGCCTGTTCAGTTCCTTTGCCGTTTATTGATTGGGTTATTTGTTTTGTTTTGTTTTTGTTTTTTGGTGTTAAATTTTTTTAGTTCTTTATATATCCTGGAGATTAGTGCTCTCAGTGGGCATTTTTTCCAGGCCTTTCTTCCATTCCTATTTGTTCCACTGGACCAAGATTGACAGGAAACCACATGCTCCTCATCAGCCAAGTAGTGCTGAATTGTGCTGTTCTGCCTAGTTATCTATAAAATTTAGTAGTATTTGATTTCTACTAAACAAAGGATGGGAAGGTGCTGAGAGCCACGGCCAAGTCTGTATGGCCCCTGGCATTTTGCCAACAGTATTGGTTGACAGGCAAGGCATTACTATCCGCCTCGGCCCCTACTTTTGAGTTCTCGCACTACTTTTGAGTTCTCGTGGGGATTCCCCGAGAGTTCCCATTGGTTGGGGAAGTGCAGGAGGAGGGATTTCCGGAGGAGATATTTCCGGTGGCCGGTTCCTGGACTATCGTCGTGGAGTTCGGGAGAATTCCCCGGGAGCATGTGTGAAGTGTTTTCTTGCAGTTCAAAAATAAAGTTTGTTCCTGCTTCAGTGGCTTGTGGTTTGTGCCCAGCCAGTCTGCGGCAGGAAGGTTGGTTTGAGCTGTGACCTCAATCTAAAGCTACTTCTCCGGACATGAGGGGAGGAAACTTTTCTGCCACATGCCATGAAGGGACAAAGCCTGAAGGGACAAAACCCTAAAAGAATTTCAGTTATGGGATTGTCAGTCTTGAGCAGGAACACAACCAGAGAGGCAATGTGCAGAAAGCACTCAAGAATCAGAGGACTCAGGTTGAGGGAAAACTCGGGTAATGAAACTGAGAAAAAGAGTTTGGTAACAATGTCATAGAATATGGAGCTCAAGAGTTTGGGCTTTATTCTGAAAACAGAGGGGAACTGCCAAAAGTTTCTAATTGGGAAGTGGCAAGACCAAGGCTATGCCCTCAAGAGGAAAAGGATTCTGGCAGTGGATCTGCAATTAACTTCCCAGGAGACCAAAACAATCACTCTTTCTCAGGGGCCTTCATTTACTATAAACTAGGAAAATGCTGATTCTAAATCTAGGAATATGGGGTGGGTGACAAGTTGAGGGAGGTTAGACTAGTTTGCAGACCCCTAGATTCCAGATCTGGGCAGGATCCCTGACCTTTGTCTTAATAAGCTTCTGTGACCACCCATGGTCACCTACCTTTTAACATTCTTGACTAATTGGCAGCAATCCCTAAGGATGACTTTTAAAGGTCACTGGAGCCAGCCTCAATGGTCTAGGCAGGAAGGAATGAGAATGTGTATTGGTAGAGAATGGGAAAAATGACTAATGGAGAACACCATCAACACAAAATTGAAAGGATTTACCTATTAATTAGAAGTGAGAAAAAAGGAGATGGACGAAGCAAGGATAACTACAAGGTTTTGAGCCTTGATCAAAGTAATGACAAATTTAATACAACAAAATTAATTTCAATTTGGTCTTCCCACTCTCTGATCCATATAAATCCAGTTTCTATGGGTCTGATCATTAATAGGAGAAAATGATGTTCTAAACCTTTCAAATGACTAACATTATTACACACACCATCTGAATGTTCGTCTCATTTAATTCTAATAGGTAGCTCAAATCTCATTCCATATGCCAGGTACTATGCTGTAAACTTCACATTCCATCATGTCATTTAATCCACAAATCACCCTGAATGAGAGCTACTATCATTCCCATTCTACAGATGAGAAACTAAAACTTAGGAGAAATGAAGTAACTTCCCCAAGGTCATTGAGTTGAAGAGCAGATGTTTAGGCATAGGCAGTCTGCAGACAATCTATTGGCCATTATACTATTCTGTAGCTGTTAAACAGTTGTCAAATCTGGAAACAAAAGTGAAAGTGAAGCAACCAAGAATTACAGTCTATTTTTTTTTTTTTTCTGTTTTGGTAAGGAGTGTGAGGGAGGAAGCAATCTGTTTAGAATTTTTAGGCAAGTGATTGATGTAATCATATTTGAAAACACTGCCTAATAACCAAACATACTGTTTAAATTTAAATGTTTAACTAAAGATTTTTTTCCCCTGTTTGCCTTGGAAGATAAATTTAGGAGATATGAGTTGTGTTTGTTATGTTCGAAAATTCCTTGTACCCTTCTGGTAAAAGGATTGCTGTAATATGCCTTGTCAAGGGCTGTCAGGAAATGATTGCACAGTGGTGTCCGTTTATGCTGCTTGTTATTACATTTTTTTTCTGGATCCTCTTTCAGTCACACAATGATAATGACTAACACTGACAGTGAAGGGAGGGCTCTCACTTTCCTAAGGGTAAGCCTCAGTACAGACTTACATTCAATTTAAGTCAATGAAGCCAGAACCCAGGTGATGCTAGTGGGAAGGTTTCCCACACTTTCCAAAGTTCTAAACCAACTAACTCTGTAAGGCCTCTTTTCCCTGACAAACTCTTCAATGCACCTGCTGCATCATGTTCAGGAGTCATGTGTATATACTACAGCAATGTGTATCTGTGTTCTCTGTTATAAGTGAGAAAAAAAGGAATGGACATTCAATGCATCTAGCACTTTATTCTCCACATTTTCGTGCATATGGCTCAAAAATAGACCTCATGTCAACATTCTGTTAAAATGAAAACTTGCATCAGCTTTTACATTTATTGGTAATGTAATATACTATGTAAATGTCCAACAGTCTAACAAATGACAATCTAGTTACATAGCTTAAATAATACAAGCACTTGCTGCTGTATTTAATAGTACTCAAGTTTCTCTTATGGCTTTTTAAAAATAATTTTGAAAGGTGCATGATTCTCTTGGGCTTCTCTGTTTAGGAAAAAATTAGAGATAATATGTTTCCAGTAATGAATTAGTCAACTACATATATGTTCATGTTAGAAAATGTCAAATAAATACTGGGAAAAATACTTTATATTAACTCAATTTTACATTTGAGTGATTTTTAAAATATCTAATTTGAATCTTCAGTATTTCATTTGTTTTATATGTCAATTCATTATCTTATGTCCTATTTCAGTAGTTTCTAGACTATCCCAGCAAAAATAAAAAAGAATTCAATTCCAGGTAATAACATCATCCATCTCCATGTGACAAAAAACTTCTGTTCCCAACATAGGAGCCACACTAGAAAAAAATTTCCCCCAATCCACTAGTGAGAAGCAAATATATTGTAGTTTAGAATGAATACTGCACAGCTGTGAACATTCACATTCTGAATCCAGAAAACAAGGATTCCTTTCAAAATCCAGATTCCTTTCAAAATCCAACATTGGTTGAGGAATCCTGAGGTTACAGAGCCACAAATGCCAAGAATACAGACACTGACAACATTAACCCTGACAAGGCTGGCAGGGTTTCAGTTCGTGCCTTTCCAAAAGTTCAGGATCATGATTCATTGTTGTTATTGTTGTTTTTCCCAAAAATGTGATGACATCCTGCCAAATCTTCTTCCATTAGGGCTGCTGAGACCAGAGAAACCGATCACATTTTTCAAGCATGCTTTGTATCAAGGCTCTGAAATCCCAAAGAAAAGAAACAAGCACATTTAACTACAGTTGATCATTCTCTACAGAAAACATTAAAACCTATAAAAGTTGATTGATCCATTGAGTCAAAAGACAGAGATTAAAATCAAGAGCGAAAGGCAACCTATGGAATGGGAGAAAATATTTGCAAATCATATCCAATAAGGGTTAACATCCAGAATATGGGAGAACACCTACAACAACAAAAAGAACAAATAACCTGATTTTAAAATGGGCGAAGGGCTTAAATAGTTAATTCTCCAAAGATGTTATACAAATGGCCAATAAGCATATGAAAAGATGCCCAACATCATTAATCAATATAGAAATGCAAATCAAAACCAAAATGACATATTACTATTATCTCACATCCACTAGGTTAGCTACTATTAAAAAAAAAAAAACAGAAAATAGAGTTAGCTAGGACATGGAGAAATTTGAACCATCATGCACTATTAGTAAAAAATATAAATAGTATAGTCACTATGGAAAATAGTATGGAAATTCCATTTCTGGATATTCACCCACAAGAAACCCAAGCAAGGTGTAGGAGGGATATTTGTGCACCCATGTGCATTGTAGCACTATACAAAGAGAAACTAGAAGCAACCCAAATGTCTTACAACAATAAATGGATAAACAAAATGTGGTATACACGCACAATGAAGTATTATTCAACCTTAAAAAAAAGTCAGAAAATTCTGTTAACATACAACAACTAAGAAGAACCTTGAGAACATTGTGTTAAGTGAAATAAACCAGTCACAGAAAGAAAATACGGTTGAGTATCTCTAATCCAGAATTCCCAAACTTTTGCTAGGCATAGTGGCTCATGCTTGTAGTCCTAGTACTTAGTAGACTAAGGTAGGAGGACTGCAAATTCAAAGCAAGTCTGGGCAACTTAGCAAGACCCTGTATCAAAATAAAATTTTAAAAAGGGTTGGGGATATAGCTCAGTGGCAGAGTGCCCCTGGGTTCAATGCCCCAATGCCCAGTACTATTCCCCCCACCCCCCAAAACCCCAAAACTTTAAAGAAGGCTTGAATTTTGGAACATTTCTGCTTTGGGATTTTTGGATTAGAGATGCTCAACCTATAAAATCTATGCAAATATTCCAAAATCCAAAAAAATTCTGAAACCTGAAATACTTCTGGTCCCAAGCATTTGAAATATGATATATTCAACCTATACTATACAATGTTACTTAGAGGAAGTAGTTAGAATATTTAAATTTATATAAACAGAAAGTAGAATTATGGGGCCAGGCACAGTGGCATATTATAGCAGCCTGGGAGGTTGAGGAAGGAAGATTGAGGGTTCAAACCCAGCCTCAGAAACTCAGCAAGACCCTGTCTATAAAAATGGCTGGGGATGTGGCTCAGTGGTTAAGCACCCCTAGATTTAATCCTTGGTCCAAAAAAAAAAAAAAAGGTAGAATTATCTTTTTGTGGTGCTGGGGGCTGGGGATCAAACTGAGAGCCTCAAGCATAGTAGGCAAGTGCTCTACAAATGGGCCACACTCCTAGAATATTCTTAAAGAATTGAGTACACATAATATTTGGGTACTCATATTAATCCAAATAGTGTCTTGGTTATGATCATGAATGAAATTCTACTTTAGTTTCTTCCCTTAATCACCTTAACTACCAAATCAGTCTCAGTCTCCCCATCTGTTAGTGAGGGGTCAGGACTAGATAATCTCTACAATCTCATCTACCTCTAAAAATCGGGGGAGGGGGGGTGTTGTACATTCTCCATTGTACATTCTCCAAGCACCATGGAAAGGCATGATAAACTGGCATTACCTCTGCCTTTTCTCAGCAATCCTCAGGATATCACAGGTTCTGGTAAATTTCTCTGACAACGCAAGGGCCAGACCACACTCTTGTAGCAATGACCATGCTGGATCTGGACCCATGGCCTTAGCTAACAGGAGCGCCACATTCTCTGTGTTGATGGGGGAAGGCCCATCATTGAGGTTCCCATTTAGTGACTCCTGGGGGACTGGACTTGAACTCTTCTTCTGTACAAGATGTAGGAGAAGCTTCCATTCCTCCACAGTCTCTGGGATCCAACCTACACATACACACACAAGCATTGTTGGCTCTGACCACTCTTATACACTGCCTACAGAGAGGAGATAGTAGAAACTGCAAAGACATTTAATATCAAAACAAAAATATGCAGAAACATAATTTCATCACCATGGCACAAAGTTTTCTGAACATATGTTGAATAAATAGTTCATGATATAGAAGTCTCAAAATTAGCTTCAAAATCCATTCAATAGCTTACTGAATGCTCTATGTCATGTACCATGCTATACACGGGATATGCAATGATGAACAAAAGACAATCCTTTCACTCTTGCAGATATGACAATCTAGCATACAAGACAGAATTAAACATAAAAATATATACTTATAAACTGTGCTAAGTATTCTGAAGAACAAAGAACCACTAGGGACAATAGCTGATTTTGTTTACAGAAAGACTATGAGGAAGTGACATTCAAACAAAAACTGAAAGATGAGACAAGCTCAGAGGGCATGTTCATGTGGCCCACAGAAAGCACAAACTTGGAGCAAAGAGTAAACATAGAGAGAAGGGACCTGCATTTCTGATGCAGGAAACATGAAAAACAATGTGACACAGGAAAGAAACTGGTGGGTTCAAAGAATTTTTATAAAAGCCTATAATGTATAAAGGTAATAGAATGAGTAAGATGATAAGGCCAGGTCTTAAGGACCAACTTAAGAATCCAGAATCTGGACTTTTCTGAGTTCAGCAAAAGGAGTTTCAGAACAGAAATTGCATAATTCAATTTTCATTTAAAAAAAAAAACTCATTCTGACTACTGAAGGGAACTGGGTTAAAAGTGGTTAAGTGTGGAACTCAAATAACCAGTTATGAAGTTGTTTCAACAGTCTAGGCAAGTAGCCAGGATGAGAAATTAAAGTGGATAGATATGAGATATATATTTGGTAATAAAATCAACATGACTTGGATAGTGACTGACATAAATCACAAAGAGAGAAAAGTGTCAAGAAAGGGCCTTATTTAATACATTGGGAGTAAGAATTCTTAATATTAGTATAATTATATTAATAAAATATTGGGAGCACTTTTGTCTGGGTTGGGAAGACTAGGAGATTATTTATGCTTCTTGAATTATCAACTTTTTTCTATAACAAATACGTTGTAACTTTAGACATACAAACCAGTTTTATCTTTTCTGATGATTCTCATATATATATATTTAATACTCCTACAAAAACAGCTGGCCCCGCTATTTCATTTCTGAAACAAAGATGATCTCAGTAATTATAGATATAGCTGGATGCTCAGAGCTGACCCTTGCCAGTCAACTGGCTTCTTGCTTTTGGCTCTAACTTTTCCCGTCCCACACCAGCAGGGTTGGAAAAAAGTTGTAGTAAAGGATCACAGGTCTTTCCACTGAGAAGTGAGGGACCTGAAAGCATGCTGTCAGCATCCGTGCACTGAGATGAATACAGTAGCACTACAAAACTGACCAAGACCACCTCTCAGAGGGCAGGATGGACTCAGACTTCAGCTATCAGTGTGTTAAAGTCCTGGCCTTCTGACAATTATCTTTTCAGTGTGAACTAATGAAAAAATTTTAAATGGAAATTATCGAAATGCCTGTGAATGTTAGTTAAGTTCATTTTAATGAATTAAAACTTTTGACTGTCTAGTGAGAAAACATGATGCAGTAAAAATACACAAGCACAAATTCTGAGAGGCCTGGGTCTGAACACCAGCTCTAGAATTAGAATCTAGTTGTGTGATTTGGTCATTTAATTATCATTTCTCGGCTTCAGTTATGACATCTGGAAGATAGAAATAATAGTAACTATCCCCAAGAGTTTGTTATCTCATTTAAAACAGCATATGGAAAACACAGCATTAGTGCCTGACATATAGTAAGCACTCATCAAATAGAAAAGGAAACAGATAAAATATTTCTGTGTATATTTGTGTGTGTGTGTGTGTGTATATATATATATATATATATATATATATCTCAAAGGACACAAATTTAAAAAACCTACAAATTTGATGATTACCTAGAATGGTCATTAAAATGTTTACCAAATTCCCTTATTTAAAAGTCTGGAGAGACTTCTAAAATACTCAATCAAGTAGCCAGTTGGCAAGTACACACCATTATCCCCTTCCATCAGGCTCATATCATCCAGATACACAATGTTGGTGAAGGCCTCTCTTCTTCTCTCCAGCTCCAAACAGAGAGTAAGATATCCAGGCCAGAAACTTAAAGAGAACAAAGTTGAAGAAAGGAATAAGACAGTGAATTTATCCATAACTGTGCTAATAGTAGACAGTAGCCACATGTGACTATCAAAATTTAATTAGAAGTAAACAAAATTTAAAAGTCAGTTTTTCAGTTGACCTGTCCATCTTTTAAACATTTGACTGAGAAGCAAAGGACCTGAAGGCATGCTGTCAGCATCTGTGCACTGAGATGAATACAGTAGCACTACAAAACTGACCAAGACCACCTCTCGGAGGGCAGGATGGACTCTCAGACTAGTGATTACCATATGGGACAATGCAATAAAACATTTCTATTATCATAGCAAATTCTATTAGACAACTCCAATCAATAGCTTTAAAGAGAAAAGCAAAAGCCAGGCCCAGTGGCACATGTCTGTAATAAAAATTACCCCAGAGGCTGAGGGAGTAGAATGCAAACTCAAGGCACCCTCAGCCATTTAGTAGTAATACTTTGTCTCAAAAAGTAAAGTGCTGAGGATGTAGTTCAACCCCAACTACTGCAAACAAGAAAAAAAAAAAAAAAAAAAGCTAGTGACATTTGAGGCCAGGCACCCATTATGAGGCATTTAAACTTTATATATATTCATACACTTTTAGATTCAATTCAAAAATCAGCATATTTCTTCTCCCAGTGTACAAACCTTGGAAGCTCTCCTGACTCTTCCCCTTCCTTTATTTGCTGTACAGTGAGTCCCACTGCATTCTCCTTTGAAACATCCATTTGATGTGTCTTTTTTGCTGCCCCACTCATCACCAATCCATTCATATCTGAATTAAGGCAACAACTTCCTAGACCTTTCTGGCTTCATACTTTATGTATAAATGGTCTTTAGAAAGCTTCACTTTCATTTTTTTTCCTCCTCTACATTTTATGTCCTTTCCCTTCCCTTCAATTCCTTTTCCCTTCCAGTACTAGGAATTAAACTTGAGGAGATGGTCCTTTTTGTACCAAAAAGTCTAAAAGGGTCTATATAGGTAACTAAATTCTTCTGACCAGCTTTCCAGGTCTTGCATCTCATCATAATGCCAGGAGAAAGAGACAAGGTTGGAAGGATAGGGAGATGGGTCCCTGGGTAACTTCTTGGGCAGCATCCCTCTTTTGGGACCACTCCATCTTTGGGAGCTCTGCTTTCTTTCTATTACCTTAATATATCCTGTTACTTTGCTCTCACCCTGTGTCTGTGGATTTTATTCTTCAGATTCATGAGACAAAGAACCCAACCTCCTGCTCCAAGATACAATCACCCATCTGTCTCATCCCTCATTATCAGTGAATAAATAGTATTAAGTACTTACCACTGTATAAATTAGGCAATGTGGAGGAAAAGAAAGATACAGGTTCCTCCAAAAGATTATTACCCAGGTAAAGCCATAAGACAACATCACCAGGCAATAAATTATCACTCATGAGTGATGTGGATAATAAGCAGTGGCAGTTTTTCTTGCCCTTGCCCTTACTCTTTCTCTTACCAGACCAGCCAGTCTTCTGGCTCCTCTAAAAATGCAAATCTTACCCTGACTTCAGGGCTTACCTCCAGAATCTCATCTTCTCCTAGAGTCCTTCACCCACAATTTTACTAAGCCTATTCTGATTTCTCTTCTTAGAAATCCTTATCAACTGTAACTGACATCACATAAATGGAGGCTGAATTAAATACTATCTACATGCCTGAGAACCAGGGCTAACAACTGAGCCTGGGGAATGGAAAGAAATTAGCAAGAGCCAGTCTCTCCTACACACACACACACACAAACACACACACACACACATACACACACAGCCACAAAATTTAAATGGTGAAAATTGTTTACTACCACTAAAACAAAAAGGTACAGTTATCTTTAGGAAGCAAAATTGAATTCCCAAGCGATAACACATATCAATTCAGGCCCTTAACTATAAGGTTATGCACTGAAGTGATTCTTAACTTCAGCTTCTGTGAAAATCCTTACTTACCCACAAGACCTACAAATATCAGTCATTTTCTCTTTTGTTGTAAAATCTGCAGGAAGTTTAATTAGCTGAAGGATCAGCTGACTATAACCCCAAGAAAACAAGTGTGAATGAGGCCTGTGAAATAAAAAAAAAATAAAAATAAAAAAGTCAGTAATTAGAAAGAAAATAAACTCTAAAAAGTCCTAATTAGTTGTCTAATAGAAAAGAATACAGTTTATGTCATAGCTGCCTGTAATCTCAGTAACTCTGGAAGCTTAGGCAGGATGATCTCAACCAAGAAAGGCTAGCCTAGGAAACTTAGAGAGGCATCGTCTCAAAAAATTTTAAAGGGGCTGGGATGTAATTTAATGGTAGAGTGACCCTTTTAAAAATCCAGTATTATTATATCTTCAAACATTTCCACTTGGCTTTTGAAAAATGTAAAGTAGCTACTTCTATAACCTGTTCATTTTTAAAAACTAGAAATTTAGGGGTTAGAGTTGTGGCCCAGTGCAAGAGTACTTACCTAGCATGCAGGAAACCCTGGGTTCAATCCTCAGCCCAGTATCACAGTAAAACAACTAGATATGTTAAGTAATCAAAACCAAAAAAATATAAATAAAAAATTCTAGGCATGGTGGTGCATGCCTATAATCCCAGTGACTTAGGAGGCTGAGGCAGGAGGATCTCAAGTTCTAGGCCAGCCTCAGCAACTTAGCAAAACCTTGTCTCAAAAATAAAAAGGACCAGGATATAACTCAGTGGTAAAGCACTCCTAGGTTCAATCCCTAGTACAAAACAAACAAATAAAAACAGCAAAAAGAAAGGCTATAATTTTACTACTCACAGCCACTGCTATCCTTCTAGTCCTTCGCTAGATATAAAACAGGCATTAGTTTTTTTTGTTTTGTTTTGTTTATCTATTTCCCTCCCTGGTACTGGGGATTGAACCCAGGGGCACTTAACTGATGAACCACTGAATCACATCTCCAGTCCTTTTTTACATTTTTTATATTTTGAGACAGGGTCTCACTAAGGGCTGAGACAGGAGGACTACAAGTTCAAGGCCAGTCTTAGCAACCTGGCAAGAACCTGTCTCAAAATAAAAAAATAAAAAGGTCTGGGGATGTGGATGAGTGGTCAAGTGTCCCTGGATTCAATCCCTACTACGAAAAAAAAAAAAAAATCCTCAATCAGGTTATGCTTAGAAATCCCTTGAAAACTTTTTAGAAAGAAAAAAACAAACAACAAAAACCAGTCCACACACACAGTTTTCTCTAATGGGTTTAATCACCAAGGACTCTTAATGTGGGTCCATAAATGAAGTTCAGAGAGATCATTTAATTCTCTGAAGTCATATGCAAAACTTTGCATTAGTGTGCATTTTTCTGAAAGGAATCATTAAGTTCTTATAGGGTCTGTGTCCCTAAAGTGTTTAGAACCACTACAAAGTACACTCAATTTTATTATTACCGTAAATTAGGTCAGTCTTTTCTATAGCTAATCCTAAAGTGAACCCAGAATGCTGCATATGAATAAATCAGTTCCATCCCAAAGGAACATCAGAGCTTAGTTCTCAGAAAGAGGACTCCTTCCATACCTGGGGTATCCTTCATCATCCATAATGCTTGTACTTGGTGGAGCATCATGGGACACTGCCAAAAGCAGCCAATCCAATCTTAAAGATTCTGGTTGTAGAAGGGACTCAAGGAAGTATGACCTGAGAGAAAGTTGGATTGAAGAATCACCAATCTTCATAATGAGAGAAAACATAAACTACGAGGATATGAAAAAAATTTGATCAAGAGATCAATATAGTAGATAAAATAACTTGAAAATTCTTCTACTACAGAATATCTAGAAATGCTTGTGAAAATTTAATAGTCTTCTAAATGAATAACTGAGTCTTCTAGATTATAAAGAGAAAAAAAAAAAATCAAAGTTCCAATAAGTAAATAATAAAAACCAGTGTGACAAATGTGAACTGAAGGAAAAAGAGGAAGTTGACAGTTTAATAACCAAATGGAAATTTATAGGTATGGCGAAATAGGAAATGATGAATCAGCCTGAAAAGAGAAAAAGCTGGAAAAGAGAGCCAGCCACAAAAAGTTGGGATATTGTCAATGAAAAGGTGGCAGTAGCCAGACATGGTGGCACATACCTGTGATCCCAGCCACTTGGAAGGCAAAAAGATCACAAGTTTGAGGCCAGCTGGGGTGATTTTCAAGACCTTGTCTCAAAATAAAATTTAAAAAGGGCTTGGAATGTGTCCAGTGGTAGAACACTAGCCTAGCATTTGCAAGGTTCTGGGTTCAATTCTCAGTACTGAAAAAAAGAAAGAAAGAAAAGGTGGCAGTAGATATTCTCACTAATAGAGAACAAAAAAAGCTCATTTGTTTTAGACTAGGCTCTGAATGAAATCCTCATCTTTCACAGTAGGTGCCTCAACTTGGTGCAGTTAATAGTAAAAATGTTACACCCGCGATAAAAGAGAACCAATGCCTTATCAAAAAAAAAAAAGGGAGTCTACAAATGTGCTATCCCTCACCGTTGATCTTCAGGCCTTGATTTCACCAGACTGTCTAAATAGGCCAAAAACTGAGCAGGATTTTGATGACAAAGTTGCATGATATCTGAAGGCAAAATGTATGGATAAAACCTGATTAAGGATCGAAGGGCAGATTCCCCAAACTTCTCATACAACCTGCATTTAAAAACAGAACCATTAGTCTCCAACTTCAGAGAAAGAATACAACTTGATTATATTAAGTACTAATTAGAAATGAAAATGAATATACCAATGTGCAAATGAGTACAACTTCAATGAAAAAAAATGTATGTACTTCAGTTCCTATAAACACCATATAGGACAACCTACCTGGTAGCATAAGCAATCAGCAAAGGACTATCAAAAGGAACTGAATCATCTAGTAACTTTAATCTTGCTGGTAAGTCTCCTTCTTCCATCTCCATATATATAGAAGTGGAACTTGCCATTTCTGAAAAATAAAGCACATCTTTTTTTCCTTCAACTCCTAGCTGCAAATGTTAATTAACATACTCATTCAAAAAGCATTGGTCACACACCTACTCTACGTATCTACTACATACAAGGCCCAGTGATTATTCGGCATTGTAGGAGAGATTAAACAAACAAACAAAAAGAACAAGCCAGGTAACGCAACTCAGGAGGATCGCAAGTTCAAAGCCAGCCTCAGCAACTTAGTGAGGCTCTAAGCAACTCAATGAGGCCCAGTCTCTAATAAAATAAAAAAATAAATAAAAAGGTTGGGGATGTGGCTCAATGGTTAAGTGTCCCTGGGTTCAATCCCTGGTACCAAAAAAAAACACAACAAAATGTAATCTCTACTTTTGAGGACTTTAAATTTAATTGGGAGATAAAGCATATTGAAATTTTTAAACAGGATAAAGGAACAGATAATCAATATATAAGTGACCATTACTCTTGAAAAACATGAGTATCTGGGGCCATATATGTCTACCATTTATATATATATATTATATATACACACACACACACAAACACACACACACACATACGTGTGTACACATACATAGAGATAGAGATAGATATCTCACAAACATAAATATCTATCATCGGTGCCAAACTGCTCAATTTTTTTCTAGCACTAGAATCTATTTATCACTTAGAATTAAGGTCAAATAATTTTAAAATATTTGACCTGCTTTTTAAAATATTGGTATAGCAAATATTCATCTTTTGAAGTAAGATCTGACTTTTGGGAATAGCAAGTCATTTAAAGCCAAGTGTGGTGAATGAGGTGAGTGAAAATCTAGTTAAAACAATTTGCATTTAAAAAAAAAAAGATACATATATACATATGAATCTAAAGATAACATGAGTTTTTTTCCAAGAACTTTTCAACTAGTTCTGAAGACAAATCCCAAACAGTTCCAAATGTTGTCTTCTATAAATATAACATCCTTTAAAAAGTGAACCCTGTTCAACTGACCATTTCTAGAAGTCCAATGTGCAATCCATTACCCTACAGGGTTCAACAGATAATTTCTAAAAAGCCAACCTTCAGTTTCTGATTTTTAAAAATTTTTTAAAGTCTTTTCTTTGTTTCCCAAATTGTTCCCCATTTGACTGTGGCAGGCAATAAACACTTAGAGGAATCCAAAGAAAGCCATCACTTAGAGTTGGAGAAGTAAGGGAAAGCTTTATGACTGGGTATAATCTAAGCCAAACTTATTTCACTTCAATTCAAGTAAACACAAGTGCTGCCTCATCTCAAACTGCCAACCAGGCACTGATGGTAAGCAACAACCGACATTCCAGATGATGCAAACTCTTTTCTGCTATTCTACTGTGACCAGGGTGGGGTATGATCACGTAACAGAAACAGCAAATTTCCATCAATATCCTCACACATTTCAACCTATTTGAAGAGATATAACTTGTTTCTTATTTTCAATAGAAGAAAATCTCCTGTTGGGCATGGTGGTGCACACCTGTAATCCCAAAAGCTCAGAAGGCTGAGGAAGAAGGATCACAGGTTCAAAGCCAGACTCAACAGCTTAGCAAGACCCTAAGCAACTTTGCAATCAAAATAAAAAATAACAAAGGGCTGTGGACCTGGCTCAGTGATTAAGCACCTGTGGGTTCAATCCTTGGTACAAAAAAAAAAGACAATCTACTACAACTCAGAAAAATAATCCAAAACCATTTTTTGTGCTATTAACAGCTATATGTGAACTAAAACAAATTATTAATATAGATGCATGTTTCTAAAAAGCAGAGATCTTTAAGTCAGATAATATAAAACTGTATCTTGGACTGGGGATGTAGCTCAATGATAGACCACTTACTTATTATGCCTGGCACAATTCACTTTTGAAATGAAGAAAAAGTGTGCTTAAAATCTAAATCAATTAGATGTGGTATCTGTTATTCAAACAGAATTCTCATTAAGAAAATTTTCCTCTTGGGCTGGAGATGTGGCTCAAGCGGTAGCATGCTTGCCTGGCACGCGTGCGGCTCAGGTTCGATCCTCAGCACCACATACAAACAAAGATGTTGTGTCTGCCGAATACTAAAAACTAAATATTAAAAAAATTCTCTCTCTTTCTCTCTCTCTCTAATTAAAAAAAAAAAAGAAATTTTCCTCAAAAAAAAAGACAATCAGGGCTGGGGTTTCAGCTCTGTCATGGAGTGCTTGCCTCAAAAGTGTGAGGCATTGGATTTGATCCACCACATAAAAATAAATAAATAAAATAAAGGCATTATATCCATCTACAACTAAAAACAATATTTAAAAGGCAATCAATACATTCTTTAAGGAATGAGAGAAGATTTCTGTCAGGTTGGCAAATAATGTGATCGTCACTCAACTCTAAGGTGGTCATTGATGGATATGGGCCCAAGTCTTTAAGGCAGACATGCAAGCGCTTCACCCATATTTATTCTCTACCTCCTGGACTCAAGCACCGAGGTCACATTTCCCAGTCTCCTCTGCAATTAGGAAGGGCCATGTAATAGAATTCTCACCAAAGAGATTGTGAATAAAAGACAGGTAAGGCATTACCAAGCCAGGTCTTTCAGAGAGCGTGTTCCACAAGCTTTCTCCTGGATATAGTAAGCCAACTTTAACCACCAGCCCCAAGGGAAGATTGAACTTAAAACAATGAAAGGAACTTGAAATGCTAAATTACCACAAGAGCTGCTCATTGACCTGGAACACCTGCCCAAAGCAAGAAATAAACTTCTATTATGTGCAAGTTCTTACATTATGAGATATTTATTACAGCAGTTTAGCCTAGCCAACTAATACTATCTCTATGCCTAGGTTTCCTCATGTATAAAATGGAAAAACACTATTAAAGATTACTGTTAGGATGAAATGAAATGATGCCTGAACACTGTTTATCATATTATATTGTACACAGGATACTCAATATATGGTATATATTATTTCTATATTACAGTTACATGACAGATTTTCTTGTTTTTATATATTTGTATTTATAAATATTTACTTCAGCCCCAACTGCTCTGACATTGCTATATCATTTGCTGTATGTGACTATAAGAACAAGAAAATGAATTTCTCATAATGGAGTTGTAAATGAAGTCAATGTTAATTAAATAGTAAAATGAAGGCTGGGGATATAGCTTAGTGGTAGAACACTTGCCTAGCATGTGGAAGGCCCTGGGTTCAATCCCCAGAACTGCAAAAATAAATAAATGAGTAGAAAACAGAATGGAGGGCTGACCACTGCAGAAGTGAGTTTTCCAATTAAATCATTATTTAAACTCAAAAATTCCAAAAAGCTAAGGTCCTCCATATTCAGTTCTTTATCTTTGATAAAGCAATTTGATTATTACCTTTCAATCCTTCAATAAAAGTATCCCAAACACAAGGGTTGTTAGTATAACTAAGCTTAATACTCTCCTTTGCTCTTTTCAAGTCCAAAAGAAAAAAGTACTTCTTTAGGAACTGACAAGCCAGAATTTCAGAAGAGCATTGTTGCAAAGTATGGTCCACATGTTCACCAGTGCTCTTGATAGCAGAATTCAGTACATTCAATTCCAAACACAATGTTGTCAATTCAGCCAGGTCCTTTTGAAGACTGTTTGCTATGGTGCATGGAGAACATACTTGAAAAAGGTCATCCAAGGGCTTCCTCAGACTAATTACAGATTCACATGCTGTTTGATCAACAGTTTCTTTATTGTCTAAAGAGTCCCTTTTTTCTTTTTCATTATCTTCATCTAATATTCCCTTTTTTGACTCATTAAGTAATAGTACATCCTGGTTCAATTTCATGGGTGAGTTGCCAGTATCTGAAATGCCTGCAAAGTTCTTCATGGCAAATGTTTTTTCTAATTGTGAAAGCCACTCCTGTAAAACCATTCTCAGAGACTTGGGTTCAAATAAAACCAGAGGATCCAGCATCTTGGTCCTATATAAAACAGTTAAGTGTGAAATGAATATGATAAAACATACTCATCTGGAATAAATGTTCTTTATGAACAATTATCTTAGCAACAAAATAGAGAACAGTGACTTTGAAGTATGTCACTAATTCTTAAATTTCAATTGCAAATGAGGCTTCCGCTCTGCCTCAGACTGTCCCAGGCCCACTAGGATGGTCTCCAAAAGCCACCCCACTGACTATAAAATTTCATCCGCACTCACATTGCTTCTGCTGTTGCTACTGTGAGCTCCTGGAACCTGTCTCCTTCTGGTGGTTCACCAATTATCTCTTTCCTTCCTCTAGAAGAGTATAAAAAATAAAAATAACATTCACAAGAGTTAAAGGGGATTAGAGCTTTCTTAGGAAATATTTCTATTGCTTACTAAGTGGCAGGTATTGTTCTTCATGGTATGTTACACTGCCTGAACAGTCCTGTTCTCTTTTTCATTATCTTCATCTAATATTCCCTCGACTCATCAAGCAATAGCACATCCTAGATCTTATAGGCCAGAGAGCATGAATAACTTGCTCAAAGTCACATGCTAGTCAGAAGAAGAGCTAGGACAAGGCCTAACTCTTAGTCATCTTACTCTTAATCAAACACTATTCTGACATACCAGAAATTTGACACGATTATGGAGGAAAAAGGTGGGTTTTGCAGGGGAAAGATGAAAGAGATCTAAATTAAAATTCTATCAATAAATTTGCTATGGGTTGATATAATTATTCAAATCTTTGTGGAAGTCACAATATTTATAAGATACATAAACAATCTTCAATGAATAGGGTCAAACTGTGCTTTCTCCAACAGGTCAGTTTATGGCTTTCTTCAAACTAACAGCTGGTTTCCCTAGAATATATACAGATTTATATGTAAGGGCTTACTCAATGTCTTCCTCCTGTGGGCAGGTAACCAAACTCATTTCCTCTTCACATGACTGATCATCATCCCTGGTATCTGATCTCATTTTTAGCTCAGGGCTTGCATGAAGGGTGCCAATCTTCTCAGTAGTTTTACGCACAAAGCTAGAAACACTAGAAGTAAAATAACAAAAAAATTATATGAAATGTCACTACTGCCAAAAATGAAAAATTCAGTATCTGAGTTTGCTATGTTCCTATTAATCCTAGGAAGTCAATAATAAAGATTGTTTATAGTAATCCTAGGAACTTAATAATAAAGATTGTTTATAGTAAGTTCTCTAATGAACAATATATTTTCACAAAAACCTCATGTAAAACAGACAATATAATGATTCACTTCATTTAGAAAACTGCCCTGAGAAACAATGATTCAATGCTAAGGAAAGGTCTTAACTTTAATTGTGTCTGTAATGTTTATGCCAACTTAGGCAATGTAAGCCATGTGATCATCAGCTCATCCTGGTCACAGAATAACAAAGAGTTTCTTCATAAAATTCAGCTGCTAACTATTCACAATACACTCTCCTAGACAATCAAAATTTGTATCCAGTAAGACTCCAATAAACAGTTAAGTAGCTACACAAAGTCTCCCCTCTCAAACTCAAATGTTAATACTGGTCCCATGGAATGGGTAGAAAGAATCCTGAATCTCCAATTCGACACCCAACTGAGAAAGGATCAAAAGATGACTAGTAATAGTGTTCTGGGGTAGGGTTGTGGGTTCAATCCTCAGCACCGCATAAAAATAAAATAAAGAAAGATACTGTGCCCACCCACCTAAAACTAAAAAATAAATATAAAAAAAAAGTTTTAAAAAAATAATACTGTTCCTATCAGGGATGAGGAAAAGGTACATTTTTACATTTTGCTCTGTCTGGGAGAAGCCAGAGCTATAATAAATCAAATATTTAGCTTCTCAAACATGGAAGGAAGTTAAATTTCCCAAAGTTGGAATGAAAAGTTAACAGCTTCACATAATAGGTTATATGAGAAATAATTTAGAGACTTCTTTTTCTCATTTAAAATGCTTTTTCATCTCAGCATCAAGTACCAAATGTGACCTTTTCTTTAGCATTGAATCATTGTTTCTCAGGGCGATTTCCTAAATGAAGCGAATAATGGACTTTTCATGAAATATATCATTGATTATAGAGAAATTGCTCTAAAAAAAGAATCTTTTTATTAAGTCCAAACTGACTTCCTAGGACTAATAGGAACATAGAAAACTTGGGTATTGAATTTTTCATTCTTAGTAGTAGTGGCATTTTTTGTGAAGTCAAGTCAGAAATGGAATTAAATGACAAGACTAATTTACCTTTCTTTGACAGCCTGAAGAGACATAAGAGGAGATGGAGAACGAAATGATAATGGAATGCCGAAGGGGAGAAAAGTTTCATTCTTATCTGTCTCAAACGTCACTGGAACATGAGAAACATTATCTAATGAATGGAATTGGGGAAAAAGAAATAAAATCAAATCACATGGAATTTTTTCTTTAAACTTTAAAGAAATTCTAAGATGAATAAACTAAAGGAAATGAAGGATTCAATATCAAAATCACAACTGACCCAGATACAAATGAGTGTGGAACACAGTTATACAAGATGCATGAAATGGTCTACATAAAACACTTAGGCAGGTACCTTCATTTGCCTACTAACCCTGAATCCCCACAAGTCAAAAAGGAAGTTTGGGGCCTCTATTAATATCTTCTCAACAGTTCAATCACAGGAATACGTGAACATTGGAAAGGGAAGGCAATGGCTCCCAAAACTGAAGCAATTTCTCAGTCCTGATGGAAAATAATTTTGTTAGTAAGGATAAAATCTTTCCACTCTTTTGGTTAATGATCTTTCTCATCCTTTTGCAGCATTTCGATGCATGACTGAAATTAGACACTTACTGATGTTAGTTCAAACATGAGGTTAAAAAAACAACTAAAAATAAGCTGGATGTGGTGGTTCATGCCTACAATCCCAGCAGCTCAGGAGGCTGAGGTACAAGGATCACAAGTTCAAGGCCAGCGTTAGAAACTAAGTAAGGTCCTGTCTCAAAATAAGAAATGAAAAGGACTGGGGATGTGGCTCAGTGGTTATGTGCCCCTGGGTTCAATTTTGGGTATAAAAATTTAAAGAAACAACTAAAATTTAAAGAAACAACTAAAATAAACCTACTCTACTAATAAACCTATAGATCTGGTAAGCAGATCTATAGGTTTAGATAAAAAAATCTATCAACAAGCTAAAAAACTTTATGTACAAGATAATTTTGGTAAGAAGAACCCACAAAAAATAACTGCTTCTCATCAACAACCAACAGGAAATATATTCATCACCTTCATTTTCCTGTGATGCACAACTCTGATCTGGCTGGTCTTCTTCCTGATGTAAGGTGAATTCTTTAAGTCTCTCATCTTCTGAGAAGGTTTGGCTATGAAGGGAGCAAGAGTCTTCATCTGACTGACTGCCTCTTCTACTACTAATGATACGATAAATACCAGAGTCCAAGATGCTAAAACTTTCCTAAAAATGAGGTAAAAAGAAAGAAAGAAATCAAAGTAAAAATTTTCTTTGTAATACAATGCAGCTTTTTCACAGAAATACCAACACTAAAATGGGAAGTCAGTAACAACTATTATGGCTTATTAGAACAAATTGGTGAAAAAGTTTAGGTGCCTGGCAGCTGGGTATTTCACATGTGCTACTGGCATCATGCTGCCTGATTTCTCTAGCTTGTCTTCATAAAGCATGGCAGTGAGAATAAGGAGTAAATGAGATAATCCAAGCTGTACTGAGACTCATATTAGCATGAAGCATCTGAAATCACCAATTAGGAGCAACCTAATTTGTGCTGGAGGCTATACAAGGTACATTCTGGAACAGAAAATAATAAACAATGACAAAAACAAAGTATAGCTTCAAGACACAGCTAAGTTTCATACAGACGCACAACAGCTAAAAGAAAGCCTTTCTTCTACAACTTGAATCTTACGTGTCCCCACAAGGGCCCATGTGCTAAAGCCTTAGTTCTCAACCTGTGGTACTTCTAGAAGACAGAAGAGCCTTGGGATATAGTGGAAGGAAGTTAGGTCACTTAGAGTTTGCCCTTGAAGGAGATATTGAAACTACAGTCCCTTACTGTTTCTCTCTTTGTTTCCTAGCTGCCATGAGGTAAGCCGCTTTGATCCATCATGTGCTCCCTGACTTGATGTTCTACCTAGCCATCAACAACCATGAGCTAAAACCTTTGAAACTATAAGCCAAAATAAATCTTTCCTCGGTATAAGCTATTTATCTCAGGTATTTTATCACAGTGATGGAAAGCTAACATACCCTATCTCAAAAAAAAAAAAAAGGAATGAAAGAAAAAAAACAAAGAAAAAATGAACTATAAGGAAAAGAAGACAGGATTTGGAATCCTAGGGGTAAATGAGTATAGTCTAAGGTGAAGCAATATTACTTTACAACAAAACCCCTTTAAAAGTGAGAATACTTACATGTGATGAAATGGAGCTTCTTCTACTACTACAAGCTGAATCCAAAGGTTCAAATTTTAAGATCAATTCATCCAGCTGAGAAATTAGATCACTACAGGTTTCAAGGTCCAGTTGAGATTTCAAATGCTCCAATTTATCAACAGTCAAAGTTTTTCTTGCCTAATGAAAGGAAAAGTAAAACCCAATTGTATAGCTGACTATCTGTAAGTCTAGACTCACATGAACAATAAATAACAATAAATAAATTAACATAAAATTAGGTCTAACAAAGAACTAACAGGTGTTTTATAAAGACTTAGAAAGCTAATGAAAAACTTAACCAGAATTATCTCAGGAACTAAGAATTTAATTGAGAATTACCAAATACTCCCTTAAAAACAAAATTCAAATAAATTTGATATTTTTTAAACAGAAAGCATAACCTTCTTATTACCTTCTACCACCCCAAAATATATCTGCTATACTTTCTTTGGGGATTTATTGCTACATCTGTAGGTCATATAGAAGAGCTAAGAAAAATAAGCAACAATTTTGTAAGACAATCCTGAAAACTAGCATGGTCTAGTGTGATGAACTTATTTAGATGAGCTCTGACTCACTTTACTGGCAATGATAGAATTTTGGAAAAGACAACATGTGCGAGCAGCCAGGTCCCATTGGCTTCTCCTTAGCAGGCGTTCCACACAGCGCTCCACAGACAAGAGGGAGAGATGTGAGACTTTCCCATTTAGGTGCAAACAGAACAGCTCATTTTTGCAGACAGCCATATCCTGAATATCTACACAAATCACAGGGGTTAATGCACAGGATGTTAGCCCAAAACGCCTTTTCTGTTTCTGCAATGGCTGAAATTATTCTAATAAATTCACTTCTTAAATAAGGTTAGTTTTGACTATCTCTGCTTTTATACTTGTATTTCAATGAAAAAACCATATTTTAGACAATATTCTATAAAGATCAGGAATAAAAGATATGAAGGAAAAAACCATATCTCTCTGATTTAAAATCCTATGGTTAAAATGCTATTTTCTGTGAAAAGGAATTGGGATTGTAAAATAGGTAATCTATATTAGAGTCAGGACTAGTGTTCCTGAGAATTACAACCTGATGATCAATTAATGGATTAAAATATCTGTCTTGGCAGAACATCTTGAAAAGATTCAACAAGGATGTGAGGGTGATCTAGCTGTGACCTCTGTCACGCCATTGATTGCTAGGGTTAATTCGGCTGATCTGGCTGGCTAGATGGGTGTCCTCTTCCTCCCTCATCATTCCATGTGTGTCCCTCCCAAAGCTGTGCACCCGGTCCGTAGAAGATGACCTTCCCTGATAGAGGAGGACCTGTTCTTTGTTCAAGAGTATATAATTAGCTGCACTCCCCTGCTAGAACCTCCAAACAAGCTCTCAAGACTCAACAAACTAGTTTTCAAAGAACTTAATCCACAAGAAATCAATGTTGATCAGACCAGTAATACTTTCTTTCTCTCTCTTTTTACAAAGTAGAAAAAGACCCCAAAAAGTCAACATACACTCTCTACTAAGCAGCAGTGCTAAAATAGCTGCATTTCGCCCATATCTGGTTTTAACCAAAAGAACATAAAGAGTGTCTTTGTCTTAGTTACATAATAATGACTTCTGTTCCCTCAGGGACTTTTTTTTTTTTCCTTTTTTTTTAGTGTTGGGATTGAACCCAAGGCTTGACACACACCAGGCAAGCACTCTACTCCTGAGCTACATCCCAGCCCCTTCAGGCACTTTTCGACTTCTAAACTGTTAAAATACAAAACTGGAGTGAAAGCTGAACTTCTAGAAGTGATAAAAACTAAGGGCAAATAGAGGGGAAAATTAACCCATTTATTCTTTTTTTGTGGGGTGGTGGTGGTAGTGCTGGGGATTGAACCCAGGGCCTTGTGCCTATGAGGTAAGCACTATACCAACTGAGCTATATCCCCAGACCACCCCACTTATTCTTTAGCAGCAGCTACAAATATTTAAAAATATTAATTTAAAAAAACTGTATTTAAAATTACCCTTAAAAACAAATATCTGAATATAAATTCAAAGATGTATGGTTGGGAAGTACCTTATAATGAGAAACATCTATGATCCTAATTTTTATTTTTTTATTTTTTTAGTTGTAGTTGGACACAATACCTTTATTTCACTTATTTATTTTTTTATGTGGTGCTGAGGATGGAACCCAGGGTCTCGCACATGCGAGGTGAGCACTCTACCACTGAGCCACAATCCCAGCCCCTATGATCCTAATTTTAAAAGAAGCATTAACCCATTCTCTTTCAACTTCTTACACTGCAAGAGAATCCTCCTACAATAATCAATATCACAAGCATTTATGAAATTAAAAATCACATAAGAAAAATATAAGCCAGGCAAGGTATTGCACCCTATATCCTTAAGAGACTTGGGAGGCTGAGACAGAAGGGCCATGAGTTCAAGGCCAGCCTCAGAAACTTTGCAAGACCCTGTCTCAAACTAAAAAATAAAAAAAATTCAAAAGGGCTGGGGGCATAGGGTGTAGCTCAGTGGTAAAGAACTTCTGGGTTCAAACCCCAGTACAAAATTAAAAGGAAAAGAAAAATATAACTACCTTTGACTTCACTCCATAGAAGAACTTGAACATTCTGAGGAATGAAAATATAAATTCCTTTTTCTGTCCAAGTCAGTACACAATGCTCACTGAAAGAAAAAAATGTAAGTCAAAAGAATTAAAGTTTGCTACGATACAGAAGTTTGACATATTTCCCTGAATTCAGATCCTCACATTATGTATTAAAGTAAAATCAGACCATACAAAGAAAATACAACAGTGATCCAACTAATAAAATCTTAATACTCTCCTTTCTGTCTATAACAGCATACACACACAAAAAAAAAATACATAAAATGATGCCAGATTGGGAAAATTCAGACACACATACCAAAGACCTTCTAGAAAAAGAAATGGCTGGTATCTGGAGAAAGAAAAGCTTAGGGACAACTTACCCGACATTTATTAAAGTAGTTAAGCTTCTTGTATTTGATATGATAGGGGCTCATTTAAAGACTAACATCTTACTGCCAATCAATCATTGCTCTAGTTAGCCACTTTTAGAAATGATAATATTCTAATTTTGTTAATTGTGTGTATATGACAAAAGATTGAGTGCATCTGGTCACATACATGCCAGAAGATTTATCAAGGGCTCTACCTATATCATCTAACTTTATAGCCCATCCTTATTTTACAAAAAAGAAAACCAAATCTGAGAGAGATGACATATTATGCCCAAGCCCATTCAGCATGAAGACAGAAGAGTCAGAAAATGAAACTAAGGATGGTCTAGCTCCCAAACCTGGACATATTTTTCCCTCTTATACCTCACAGAATCTATTTTCTCCCTCATTTATTCTCAGTAATCTACCCTGTTATCCAGTATACTAAGTATTTCATTTTATTGAATTATCAAAAGTAACAGATTTCCTAATTGCCAAACCCAATAATCCTTCACTAATCCCAGGCAGAAGACTGTTCCTTCTTTCTTGAGTTCCATTTCCCAGACTCTAGGATACAGTTCTTTCTTGGGTCTCTGTCTGCGTCTCCAGGACTCTGGTTCTCTCCATTTCTCCTGTTCTTCTTTTTTTCATACCATTGACTCATATGAGTGTATCTCATATATCTCATGTACCTTCTCAAGGCTGCTACTAATGTATATATACCACTGATAATTTCCTTTCCTTAACCCTAGTCAGGACATTCCCCAACATACAGGGTTCTCACTATAGCTCCCTATCAAGGATCAGCCGAGGTTCAACTACCCTCTGAAATCCTTTCCCACAGCCCCATAGCAACTGTGCCTCTTCCTGTACTCAAATCTATTTCTTGTGAATTCACTCATGTACTTAGTCATGTACTACTCTGTTACAACTCTTGTATTTTATTTTTTTTAGAGAGAGAGAGAATTGTTTAATATTTATTTTTCGGTGGACACAAATCTTTATTTTTATGTGGTGCTGAGGATCAAACCCACCGCCTCGTGCATGCCAGGTGAGCGCATTACCGCTTGAGCCCCAGCCCACAATTCTTATTTTTTATTGTTAAATTTTTTTTCTTTTTAGAAATAAACCACATTTCTCCAATTAAGTATAATCTTAAGCATAGGAATAATATTTTCTTTGTCCCCAAGAATACTAAAAATGGTTCCTTGAGGTCATGAAACTAAGAGTGATACTTTATAGGACTTGGATCAGTACATACAATATATACAAATATTAACATTCTGTCCAGATCACTGACCCTAGAGGAAAGTTATCTTTGTCATAAAGATGGAAGATAAGGTCAGCATTACAGTGCAAAGTAAGTAAAATTAGGAAGGCTGTCTTCAAGAGCCAGAGGAGAAAATATATGATATATACTCTTATCTGAGTAAAGAAATAAGAGGTCATAATTTTTTATATTAAACTTGATATTCAGCCTGAAAAATTTCTTAGAAATAGTAACCTAGGTTAAATGGCGGGTGGTGACTAAAATTAGAGCTGACAATTAAAATTTATACATTTTTATCCCCTTATTACTTTACTAATAATAAATAAATTGGGACATAAGCCTAACAGCATTGTTTACAAATTCAAGAAAAGAAAGTGTTAGCCAGGTACAGTGGCGCATGCCTATAATCCTAGCAGCTCAGGGGGCGGAGGTAGGAGGATTTCGAGTTCAAAGCCAGCCTCAGCAATTTATCGAAGTGCTAAGCAATTCAGTGAGACCCTGTGTCTAATAAAAAAATACAAAATACGGATAGGGATGTGGCTCAGTGGTCAAGTGCCTCTGAGCTCAATCCCCAGTATCCCCCCCCAAAAAGAAGTGTTATCTATGTAACCAGAAAAAAAACAAAGTATAGGATATTAGAATGCTCCCTTATGAGTTTTGTAGGTTGTGCCAATAAACATAATTTAGGACACAAAAATGGAGGAAAAAGTAAATTAACAAGGACAATAAGAAGCCCTCATACTCATGTTTTTCAAGAAACTTTCCACTGAATTAGTCATTGTTTAAGAGCCTTCAATGTGCCTAGTGCTGTGGTACTAGAATGGATATTCATAACATAGTAAGATAGTAGTGATGATGGAGGAATAAATGAGGTTTGACAACAGTGCATGGGAACAAGTACCTAACCCAAGGCTGCTGGAGGAGTTAGCAAAAGCAAAGTGACATTAATTATTATTTAAGCTGAGGAGTAGGCCAAGCTACACCATGAAAGGCTCTATTTGCCACGGCAGGGACTATAACGAGAGTTTTAAATAACAAAACTTGAAGGATAACTACTAGGAAAATCAAGCATATTTCTGAGGAAGAATGCTTTCTACTACACAGCAAGGCCATACTATCACCCAACTTATCACCCCACATATCATGTTATAGTTAACTAAGTATTTTATGTACCAGGCACTAAGCCAAGCACTGAGAATACAACCTGAACAAAATAGCCATGAAGCCCTCAACAAGCTTACCGTTTAGGAGCAGGATGGGTTTATAAATATTAATATTTAATAATAACTGAAGAATGCCATAAAGGAAGGCCCCTAATAAAGGAAGAGGTTTTAATATGCTTTATGAAGTAAAGGCAAATAATTAGCTGCATTCCTCCAATAACTTTCAGGATGAATAATGGGTTTATTAAATGTTAAAAGGTCTATAATTCATTTTTACATACTTTGGTTTAGTGAATGTGATGTACATGAATTAATTTTTACTTTGCCCTTGGTGTCAACTAATTAATACTGACAGTTCTTTATTTTTATTTATTTACTTAATTGCAGTATTAGGGATTGAACCCGGGGCCTTTACCACCGAGCTACATCCCCAGTGCTTTTATTTATTTTATACTTTTATTTATTTACTTTTGTTGTACATAATATTGAACCCAGGGTGCTTTACTACTAAACTACATCCCTAGCTCCACCTCCCTTCTTTTTTTTTTCATTTTGAGACAGGTTCTTATTAAGTTGCTGAAGCTGGCCTCAAACTTTTGATCCTCTTGCCTCAGCTTCCGAAGTAGCTGGGATTACAGACAAGCACCACTGCACACAGCTTATTTTTTGAGACAGGGTCTTTATTTGTAGAAGCTGGCCTTAAGCTTGTGATTCTTCCAACTCAGCTTCCTGAGTCACTGGGATACAAGAAAATGCCATCATGCCCCACTTAATTGTTTTTTGATTGTTGTTTTATTTGTGTGTGGGAGGGTATATCTCCAGTCTTTTTATTTTTTATTTTGAGGTAGGGTCTCGCTAAATTGCTCAGGGCCTCACTAATAAATTGCCTTTTTTTTTTTTTTTTTTTTTTTGGTATACTGGGTATTGAACCCAGGGGGCACTCTATCAGTGAGCCACATTCCCAGCCCTGTTTTGTATTTTAGAGACAGGGTCTCACTGAGTTGCTTAGCACCTCACCATTGCTGAGGCTGGCTCTGAAATTGCAATCCCCCGGTCTCAGCCTCATGTGAGCCACTGGGATCACAGGTGTGCGCCACCGAGCCCTGCTAATAAACTGTTTTTTTAAAAAATCACATTCTAAGTTGGCATGGTGGCATGCATCTTTAATCCAAGGCACTGAGAAGGCTGAGTTTGAGGCCAATGTCAACAACTTAGAAAGATTCTGTCTTAATACAAAAACAAAAAGGGCTAAGGATGTAATTCAATGGTAGAATGTCCCTGGGCTTAAACCCCAGTATCCCCCCACACACACACAAAAATCACAAATCACATTCTAAGAGTGATTAGTTACTCTTTAAAAGAACTCAAACGGAAGTCCACACTCCAGCCAGGTGCGGTGGCGCATGCCTGTAATCCCAGCAGCTTGGGAGACCTTGAGGCAAGAGGATCGATCAGTAGTTCAAAGCCAGCCTCAGCAACTTAGTAAGGCCCTAAGCAACTTAGCAAAACCCTATCTCTAAATAAAAAAGGGCTGGGTATGTGGCTCAGTGGTTGAGAATCCCTGGGTTCAATCCCCAGTGAAGTCCACACTCCAGTGTGCCCTATAAAAAACTCTAAATACTATTTTCTAAATCAGCATTAGAGATCTTATTAATTAGCCTAAGGACATTAGAAATAATTTTTCACTGATGAAATAAGTAGAGTTCCAGCACAGAGACTAATGGGAAATTATATATTGATACTCATACCCTTGTAGAATAAGGTATAGTAATCGGCAGACCCAGAAGCTGACAACCTCTACAGTGGACTCTGTGCTGCCACTTAATATGGATTTTGCATCTAATGCACCTAGAAGGCTAACTTAACTTGAAGTTGGAATAGGGCTGAGTCTGCCTTGAATAGATCTTTCATGCAAGATATTTGTCAGAGTCTCTAAAAAGCAGAAAGTTGAAATTTTAACAAGATTTCAAGAACAAGTTCTACAGCTATGTTTGAGCCTGCCTATTAATAAACATATATCTATGAGGTAGATTTTAGTCAGGGACTTGCTTTCATTATATCACCCCAACAGGTAGAAGATATTATACAAGAATGAATACCAATAGTTCTGATTGTCAGATGTTCCCTGACAATTATAGACTCTCCAGTTGGTTTGGAAAGGGATTTTCTTCCCCCCCCCCCAAGTGGTGCTTTATAATTGTGCATATGTGAAAAAGTATTTTCTCATTCATTTTCAATTTTTTTTTTTTTTGGTGTTGGTGTTGGAGATCAAACCAAGGCCTTGGGCATGCTAGACAAGCACTCTACCCTTGAGCTATATCCCTAGTCTTATTCCTCTTATATAGAGTATTTCATGTAACTAGTCATTTTCTAACTTTCCAAAAATAATTTAGAGTAAAAAAACAATTTTAAAAAGCTACTGGGGGGGGGGCTGGGCTGTAGATCAGTGGTAGAGCGCTTGCCTCGAATGCGTGAGGCCCTGGGTTTGATCCTCAGCACCACATAAGTAAGTAAATAAATAAAGATCAAAAAAAGAAAGCAAGCTACTGGGGACTGGGCTTATAATTCAACAACAGAGTATTTTGGATAAGGCCCTGGGTTAGGTCCTAACATCACAAAATAAAAAATGGGAGAGCTAGGTGTGGTAATCTGTAACATGTAGTCCCATCTACCTGGGAGGTTGAGGCAGGAAGATTGCTTGAGTCCAGGAGCTCAAGGCCAGCCAGTCCCCCACAAAAAAGTCAGGGGAGGACTAAGGGTATATATTGCTCAGTGGTATAATACTTGCCAACATGCAAGAGGCTCTGGCTTTAATCCCCAGCACTATAAAAAACAAAACAACAACAACAAAAATGCTCCCCCCACCACCAAAGAAATTAACTAGCTAGGGTATGGTTCAGGGGTGGAGAACTTACTTAGTATGCACAAGGGTCTGGGTTCAGTGCCAGAAGCAAAACTAAATAAATAAAACCAAACTGCCTTTGAATAAAAGGAAAAGCCAAGGGAAAAACTTACCTAAGATGCAAGAGTTTGGGAAAAGACAAAGACTGGGAGCATCCAATTGTATGATCATATTGAGGTTCTGATCTAGGAAGCAAACACATACATTAATGATTTACTCACAACCTAAAATTATAGTTTTCCCAATATTGTGCAATTTTCACAGCCAAAACAATTTCAAGAGCTGAAATGCATCTGCCCTTATTCAATTAACTCCAATCAGAGGAAAGACAACTGATTAGAGGCTTTATCTTTTGATAAAAATTCTACTTAGTTCTTAAGAGGTATAACAAAATCTTTTTTTTTAAAGAGAGAGGAGAGAGAGAGAGAATTTTTTTTTAATATTTATTTTTTAGTTATCGGCAGACACAACATCTTTGTTGGTATGTGGTGCTGAGGATCGAACCCGGGCCGCACACATGCCAGGCGAGCGAGCTACTGCTTGAGCCACATCCCCAGCCCATAACAAAATCTTTAACAGATAGAAGAAGATCCGAGATTTTAATCCAACCTCCAAGAAAATTCCTCAAATAATCCCAATCAGCCACACAAATCATTACCTTGGAGTAATCACAGGCAGAGGTGGCAATGAGAGGAGTTTCTTGAACTGATGTGTACTTATAACTTCCCCATCAAAGTTCACTTCCCACATCCTGGAGCCAGGACGAGCACAAAATATCAAAGGCTGCTGGCCCCCAGAACACCTTGCAGGGAAGAAACAAGCTCCATATTCTCCATCTCTTTCCTTGTTTCCAATTTTCCAAAACTTTTCTCTAATGTCCAGAAAGGAAGAGACACTATGTTTACTTACAAAAAAGTTAAAGACAATGGCATTATGAATCAGCATGGCCATGATAATCCCGCCCACAATGTTCTCTTCCTTCTTCATATTAGTATTATGCTGGAAAGAACAATATAATAGAAAGGTCAAAATAGAGCTCTGCACTATTTCTGTGACCGGAAGCAAACCTCTTCACATTAGTACTCAGTTTATTATCCATAGAAGGAGAGATCAGAATTGATGGAAAAACCTGTTTCAATCGAAAAGGTGAGTGCCACCAAACCATTTCATCATACATGCTTGAACCCTAAAGTCCTTGTGCAATACAATGCTCTCTGGACATCCCATGGAAGCCATGATTCTACCTTTCCACCTCTATCTCTAAGATACGTCATCACCACAAACATCCAATAAACTCATCTTTCCCCAAAATGCTACGTCCCTCTGAAACATATCTTGGAACATTCTGTCCACTTAGGATTACATGAGTTAAATACATCAAAGTATTTGAGCTGAGTGCAGTGGTGCATAGCTGTAATCCCAGAGACTTGGGAGGCTAAGGCATGAGGATTGCAAGTTTGAGATACACCTCAGCAACTCAGCAAGGTCTTAAGGACTTAGCAAACTTCTGTCTAAAAATAAAACATAAAAGGGCAGGGGTTGTGGCTCAGTGGTAGAGCATTTGCCTAGCATGTTTGAAGCACTGGGTTTGATTCTCAGCACCGCATATAAATAAATGAATAAAATAAAGGTTCATCAACATCTAAAAAAATATTTGAAAAAAACATTAAAAAAAGGGCTGGGCTTCTGCCAGAAAACTCATTAAAAACATTTAGTGTTAATTAATACATAATATCTATATACACACACACACACAAAGAGTAAATGTGTCCTTTTTGCAGTCCAAAAAAATAAACAAAAAAAAAAGGGCTGGGGATGGGACTTAGTGGTTGAACAACTCTGGGTTGAAATCCAAGTACCAAAAAAATTAAATCAAATAAAAAGTTCAAAGTCCACCTGGGCAACTAAATAAGACTGGAAAACTTAGTGAGATCTTGTCTCAAAATAAAAATAAAAATTTTTTAAAGGGTAGAGTGCTTGCCTAGCATATGCAAGGCCTTGGGTCCGACCCCCAGTACTGCAAGGGGAAAAAAAAAAAAAAAGTGAGTGCACTGCCTAGAAACATGGAAGGTGATAAATGATGAGTTTACCTTTTCCTAAAACTTCCTGTTACTTATTCTTCATGACTTAGTTTCAGCAGTCTTCCTCTGAGAATCTTCCTTGACTCTCATATGCTGAATTACATGCTTCCTATACTATGCTTTCATAGTACTGACCACATTATAAGTGGCAATTATTTCTATTTGAATAGATTATTATGTTTTGGGACAAAAGGCATTTCTTATTTCTTTTTATTTTTAATTTAGAAATTTAATTCCTTTATTGGCATTGCTATGCTTTTATTTTTAATTTGTTCTTTTTAGATATACACAATAGTGGAGTATATTTCATATATTATACCTAAATGGAGTATAACTTATCCTAATTAGGATCCCATTCTTACGGTTTTCATGATGTGAAGTTTCACTGATGGTGTATTCACATATGAACAAAGGAAAATTATGTCCAATTCATTCTGCTGTTTTTCCTACTCCCATCTCTCTTCCCTTCCCTCCATTCCCCTTTGTCTAATCCAATGAACTACTATTCTTCCCTACTCCCCCTTGTTGTGTGTTAACATCTGCATATGAGATAGAACATTTGGCATTTTGTATTTTGGGACTGGCTTATTTCACTTAGAATGATAAGTTCTCCAGATCCAGAAAATTATTCTTTTTAAAATTTATTATAGAAAAATTTACTGACAAAAGTCATAAAATCATTCTTTTTATGGCTGAGTAATATTCCACTTTGTTTATATACCACAATTTCTTTATCTATTCATCTGTTAAAGGACACCTAAGTTAGTTGCTTAACTTAATGTTGTGAATTGAGCTCCTACAAACATTGATATGGCTGTCTCACTATAGTATGCTGATTTTAAGTCTTTGGGGTATATATCAAGGAGTGTCTTATTATACCTTCTTAGTTGAATACGAAATATATAGCAGTGTCTGATCCACAGAAATCACTCAGTACACTGCAGATATCTCTTATTGGGTAATGATCTATTTATACTCTGGCATACATTTACTATATTACCTCCAATAATTCAATAAAAATTCCTGTACTTATTTGCACCATGCATAAAATATGTTTTACTATAAAATCATGGATGTGAAAGTACTTTGATATGGACTTAGGGTAATAAAAAAATTTGGATTTATTTCCTAAATTCCTTATTTGGGAAATAAGATATATTTCTTGCTTGATATTTTATGTCTAATACAGTGCTAAAGACCCAGAGTACAGCATGAGATTAATTAATACTTTCATATCCTTAAAACTATCTCTACATTATGGATGTGGAAACTGACATTTGGCAAGATTTAAATAGGGGCAGAACAGGGAGTTGATATCATATTGTCAAGTTCCATTATCCAATGTTCTCTCTCCTCTATCATTGTACTTTATTTTTGTTTGTTCTTTTCCTTCTCAGATTCACCTGGTTCAACAGCTGACAGGAGAAGCAAATTCATAACTATCACTTTTGTTAATCATTAAGAGTCCCAGTTATTGTTTTCTTTTTAAATACTGTTTGTTGAATGGGGACATACATTGAAACTAAAAAAAATTAACATAAATGAATTTTTAAATTATTTTACTATTCATATCCTTGAAAACAGAATTCTACCTAACAGAAAGGGGCATACCTAAGGCATGTTACTTCTGTAGCAAGTTCTACATTACTGCAACTCAACTCAAACTTATCACTCTTTGAAATGAGGAGGGTTCATAATACAATCTCATTTTTGTGTGTGCTCAAATTTTTCTATAATAAATTTTAAAAAGAGGGCTGGGGATGTGGCTCAAGCGGTAGTGCGCTCGCCTGGCATGCGTGCGGCCCGGGTTCAATCCTCAGCACCACATACCAACAAAGATGTTGTGTCCGCCGAGAACTAAAAAAATAAATAAATATTTAAAATTCTCTCACTCTCTCTTTAAAAAAAAAAAATAAATAAATAAATAAAATAAATTTTAAAAAGAATAAATGATTCTAACAAGTATGGTAGCAAGCAAACCAACTAGCCAGGGCCAGTTGGGGGTGGTGGTGGTACTGGCCAGTGAAAATCTCCCTGCAGTAAAAACAGCTGAGAAACTTTGCATAATGATACATAATACTCACTTCCAGCTATTTCTCATTCTTTTGTGATATTTCATGACTACCTCTAATACACTCCTTTCCATTCATCATACATTTTATCCACCTTTGAAATATTGGTGAAATAATTGCTGAATTCATAATGCTCTTAATTCTTCAGTCAATTTTACTCTGAAGTAAAATGTTATTAAATACACAGCAAATTTTAAAAACAGCAACAACAATCAGGGAAGTCTTCCTGATTGTCCTACTGAACAATACTTTAGCCTTTAGCCTTTTGCATCCTTTAACTCAATGTTATATAAGATTATGCTTCATGGTTGGGTTCTTTAAATACTTGTCTTGATCACCCATCACATTTCTTGCTCTCCTCCACCTCCTCTCTACTTGCCAACATTAGCTTGTATTCAAACAGTTCCTTATTAATATCTGTATAATTCATTGAGTGGTTTGTGCTATATGACTTCTGAGACTCTCCTAAATTTCTGTCTATCTGATGACTCATGGTTGGTCAACATACCTCTCAGTGTCACACAAGAAAGATCGAGTAAGTGAAGATATAAGCAGTCTTCCATCCAAATAATCTAACTGCACAACACAAGAGTCAACTGTTGTTATTGTCTGAACAGGAAACATCACAAAGGCAGCAGATGCCTAAAAGGGACATCAGAAGAAAATAACGTATTTCATTATAACATTTACATAGAATCTCCTCTTCTTTAAATAAAATCTCCTCCTCTTTTAAATAAAAATGACATGGATAACAAAATAAAATTTTTAAATAGGCAAAATTTTAATTTGCCTAAAGGGATATGAAAATTTAACTCTCAAAAAATTTATGAAATAATCTGATACAAACTTAAGGCTTAATCCTTAAAGCTCTGTTTGTGATTATGTAACCTTAGAGGTTGGAATAAAAAAGTTGAAGCAAGTTTTGAAACATATGAAAGAATTTTTCATCTATAGATATATTTCTCCCTTTGGGAAAAAGACAAATTAAGTCTATACTATGTAAAGGGTTTTAACTGGACTTTGAATCAAATAATAATTTAGGGGCTGATGATGTAGCTAGGTGGTAGAGCACTTGCCTACCATTCATAAGGCCAGGGATTCAATTCCCAGTACCAACCTTTGATGGGGCATGATGATCAAGCTAGAATATTCTGACGTGTTTATTTAAAACAGAATAATTTAGTCAATTGTAGTTAGATGTCTCCTTTTCTGTCAAAAATTCTCCTTGAAAATGAGTCACAAGAGAAACTTTCCCCCCATGATCACCTACAAAAACTCTTAAGAACAGCTGTATCCCAGCTGTGATATAAAGGCCTTGGAGAAGCAAAACAATGAGAAACTGATCTGCAGTGTCTCAAAATCAGACTGGAGCATTCTGTTAGAGTAACCTGAGTCCCAACCTATTTCTTTTTTTTTTTTCTGAGTCCCATCCTTTTAAGCAATAAGTGTGGCAGGAAGCCTGGGGACCTACACATCTGAGCATAAGTCCCTTTATGATTCCATTCACATTAAGTTACATTTATCCTGAGACAAAATATTCCTATACCCATGAGTTTGGTCTACACAGGGGCCAGGAAAACAGGAGACTGAACAATTGGTACCATTTCTGTATTTGTCATTTTATTAATAACTAGTAAATAGACATCTTTTCTTTCTCAAAGGCCTCGTATTAAAGAATACTATTATTATTAATATTATTATTTAAATGCACCAGACAGGTGAGTTAGGAAATACAGCCATAGACAATGTGCAAATTATTGAAGTCAGTTCACAAGAGCCACTCTACAACAGTATCAAACGAAAATAGTCTGTCATATGTACTGCCATATGTACTACAAACAATTCTCAAAACCTCTTAGGTCTGTGCTTTAAATCTGTCCCTCCAGGAATGGGAAAATAAACAAAGAGAGAAATGAATTACAGTAGATGGGGTAGAGAGAGAAGATGGGAGGGGAGGGGAGGGGGGATAGTAGGGGATAGGTGAGGTAGCAGAATACAACAGTTACTAATAGGGCATTACATAAAAATGTGGATGTGTAACCGATGTGATTCTGCAATCTGCATTTGGGGTAAAAATTGAGAGTTCATAACCCACTTCAATCTAATGTATGAAATATGATATGTCAAGAGCTTTGTAATGTTGTGAACAACCAATAAAATAAATAAATAAATAAATAAAATAAAAAATAAAAAAAATAAATCTGTCCCTCCAGAAATACATTGAATAAAATTGTATCCTTTAACTCAATGTTCTATAAGATCACACCGAGTTTCTCTAATCACAAACATAAAGAACTGGAGAGGTTCTCACCTTTGCTTGTTTAGATGTATTGAGTTTGATGGCAGAAACTTTCCCCACATGATCACCTACAAAAACTCTAAGAACAGCTGTGTCCCAACAGAGAGCTGTAACTTTTCGGCCTTTGTGTTCTGAAGACACATAAATTCGTTCTGGTTTCCCTCGACGCTCTTGATTTAATTCCCAAACAACTACAAGACCTTGACTGCAAGAATTGAGTGACAGATGCAAATTTTTGGCAGTGGTGAAAAAGATAAAAATTTAACTACATTGTATCATCAATTATATTAAATACACAAACAAACACTTGCTCTTCAGAAAAAAAAGGAAGTAAAGGCCAGAGGGAGGGTAGAGAAAGGGGAAATGCTGGGAATGATATCAGTCAAATTATATTGTTATATTATATGCATGTACAAATATGTAATAACAATCCTACCATTATGCACAATTATAATGCACAAATAAAAATATGGAAAAAAGAAAAAGAAAAAAGGAAGTAAATAGCCAAATTATTCATTTCTTTGTTTTATTTGCCAAACCAGCATAACAGAAGAACTTAAATGTTCTAAATTATATGTGTTACCTTCCTCTTTTAGGACCTTTAAAATGTTGTTGACTCAAATTAGCATTTTTTTATAAATCCTAGAGTGACTAATGGTCCATCTGGACAGGACTTTCAGTGTCAACACTGGGATAGTACTAGGCAAATTGAGATGGCTGGCCACCCTCAGTTTAAAATGCATTTGGAAGGAAGTAGCCAGACAATCTCATCACCCTGCACCCAACACAAAAACAAAAAGGGAGGAATGTTGGGTGTGTGGGAGACTCCCTGGCTGAATCCCTTACCCCTCCCCCTCCTCTCCTCCGAAGAAGAGCATCAAGCTGAAGAGCACCAAATTCAAAGGTTTTTTCAACCAATCCCTGAAGGACACAGGGTCTGCTAGCTGATCCTGAGTCACCCTGCCAATCAGCACCTGACACATCCCCTACAACCCTTCTTAAGCAGAAACTTGTAAGCACACACTCTGCCTTCTTCTTCTCTGCTCTCTTCCTCCTCTTTCTCTCCTCTTTCCTCTCTCTGATCATCCTTCTCTCTGCCCTCCTCCTCTCCTCTCTCTGCTCTCTGACTCTCCTTTTCTTCCCCTTCAGGTAGCCCCCCAATACAATCTCTTGGTTGAAAATAAAATAAAATAAAATGCATTTGGAAAAGATCAGATAGTCTTAAAACAATTTTTCACCTGGTAGCTACAGCAACGTAATCATCATCATGTAAACAGCAAGCAACCTGAGATATTGCACCTTCCTAGGACACAAAAAGAAAAATATTATTTAAGTACCAAGTTTTCATCCTTCTTTTATTCTAAATGATTAATCATATTGGAGAAATTCACATTTACAAAAGATACTCTTAATTGTATGTGACAGGCTACCCTTGGTCTTACCCGGTGTGAAAGAAATAGCCTATGCTTCCAGCCTTCTTTCTGAATGAGATTGAGTCCTCCTCCTGAGCTGCCCAAAGCCAACCATTTCCGAGACACAGCTATGCTTGTGCACTAAAATCATGTGAAGAGACATGTATGAGATACTCATAGCCACTTAACCAAATAAACTACAGACTGGAAATAAATAATGAGGATTTCTGTTCAGGTTCCTCCCCTCAGTCCACCCTCTGACCAGATGGATACAACATAATGGCACTCACTCTCTAATTCTAGAATACTGAAAAATATCAAACAAAGAACATTTATATATCAAAAAGGCTGAATAGGCTCAATTGTATAAATGAGTAATCTTTTTTGGGCAAAAGCCAGTTATTAGACCATTCATATTTTGTGTAACTTGGCTAAGGTCATTCCAATGCTGACTGCAATGGGGGAAGACGAAGTAAGTTACCAGGGGATAAAGCAATTTGCTCCCTTAAATAACTTCTAGTCTGCACAATCATCACAAAACACCACAGTCCTTAGAGCAAGTGAGACTCTTGAGGGCACAGATTCAGGTCCCATACTACCATGTCTCCCCAATCTATCAGTCTGCTGATTTCTCTCTTGTCCTGCCAAACAAAGCAGTGGCCATGCTATGCCCAATAATCTGTGGCCAATTATTGGTTTGCTGACTAAGAGACATTACAACCTTCCTCAACTTTGTTGCTTTTCACCACAGAAGCTGAAAAACCTAAATATTCACTTTCCCATTTTCCCTTGTTGCCAGAGGTAATCATGTAGCTCAATTCTAGCTAAAAAGGCTAAGATTGCTTTACCTTCCCAGAGGAAAGGCAGAGTTTCAAGAAAACAAACCCTCTGCCCTTGGCCCCCTTATTCTTGCTTGAGATACAATAGGGACATTAAAACTGGAGGCAGGATATGTATCTTGCAAATATGAGTAAAAGCCAACATATAGATGATGACAAGAGAGAGAAAGATGGAGAGCCTAAGTCCTCAGTGACATTGTTGGGCCACTATACAAAACCCAGCACCACCAACCTCCAATGAGATGAAAAACATCTTAATTGTGTAAGTCACTGAGGTAAGTAATTCTGTAACTTGCAGCTAAAAAATATTTCTAACTGATATCACCTCTCCCAATTGTTGTTCATATTGCTTTGCCTATTGTTTCCTATTTTCCCTCTCCTCAGAGGCTAAAATGTACTTTGGAGCAGTAGCAAAAGTGCAAAATCAAATTATTTTGGAATTAGTTATGATACTTTGTTATTTACCAGATCATCCTGCCTTTAATCAAAAAAATTCAGATTGAGAGAACTATACACTTCCCACACAGCTAATTTTTACTCTGCTCCCTAACCAGTGGTTATATCAAATTTCTTGTTTTGGAATAAGGCAGTGGTTTATGTTGTTCAAAATGTAATGTGTTCAAAATTTATACTATTAATTTTAATAACATGCTTTACTTTCTGAGAGAAGAAAGCAAGATTACTGAGAAGGAAAAAATTATTAGAACCATGGTTTCCAGAGCTGGGGAAGAATTCAAATGATAGTTTAAAAAATATATCACATAAGAGCTATGATGCCAGGCATGGTGACACACACCTGTAATTCCAGGATCTTGGAAGGCTGAGGCAGGAGGATCTCTCAAGTTCCAGCCAGCCTGGGCAGTTTAGCAAGACCCTATTTCACAATAAAATAAAAAGGACTAGGGGTATGGCTCAATCATAAAGGACCACTGAGTTCCATCCCTAGAAGAAAGAAAGAGAGGGAGGAAGGGCTAATGACTATGCTACTCCTACGTAAGGTATCGTGAGGACAGGTAAGAACACAAAAGATTCCACAAAAGAGAACTAGAGAGCAGGGGGAAATATAATAGAGCACATACAAACATGAATATGAAAATGAAACTAACACAAGGATCAAGAAATTCACCTTTAAACGACTGGAGTCCAAACGCAAGGCTGAGAGTAATGGATCCAGTGACTCAAACTCCGCAAGAACATGGCTGTAGGACTCTGGTATCACTGGCACAAAAGTCATTTAGTCAAAAAGGTGAAACTTGTTCAGGCACAGTATTCCTTGCCTGAAAAAAATCTGCAAAAATAGAATTTAAGATCACCATTCATTCAGGATGCATTAAAGAAATGTGTGGGGAACATAAGGAAAACATGAGACAGAACAACTAGTTCTACTTTGAACATGCTGGTAAAAAAACAAAAACAAAAGCAAAATAGGTACCTTTGCATGTAATAGTGTGGTCCCTCTATTCACATTCCTTGACTCTAAAACTCTTAAAGTATCATGTCTAGATTTCAAGGCCCTCCAGCATCCTATCCCACTGCATTATCTTATAGTGTAAGTAGGTAAAATTGATACAGTAGGGCTTAAAAGAAAAATTGGTCAAGTTCCTTGAAGTAAAACAGCAACCCTACTATATTTGAGTGGTAAATCTTTAGGAGTCTCTCATTTAAATGCAATATTCTGTTGATAAGGTCTCAAATACTAAAGTCTTGTCAGCAAGCATTAAACTTATCAACCAAAATTTTAACAGTGCTTAATTAAGGCCTCTAGATCTCTCCATTGAACCCAGCAGGGGCCTGATACGTATGTTGGTTGAATGAAGTGAGAAGTAAGGTACAGGGAATTGGAATACAAAGAATAAGAGCTTGAATAAAAGAAACTAGATAGGAATTAACAGGGATAAGAATATTAGGTAGCAAAAGTCAAATGCCCAATGAGAACTTTGTAAACTAACACAGAGTTGCCTATCTGTTCAACTAGTCTCAGTAACTATTCTCAGGTACACATTTATGTGTGTATGTGTGTGTGTGTGTGTGTGTGTGTGTGTGTGTGAGAGAGAGAGAGAGAGAGAGAGAGAGAGAGAGAAATGGCACCAATTTCCAGGCACAAAGAAAACTGTACCATTACACACATATTATAGTCCTATTTTCTGGTAGTAATTTTGTCTCATACAATTCAACATGTACAAGAAAAATGCTGTTCTAAAAACAATCAACCAAAAATTTAGTATAACTATACTCAAAATACTTGAGAACTCCTGATCTAAAAAGATTCTTCTCTCATTTTTTTCACTCATTCATTTTATTATGTAGCTAATACAAAAGCAGATTCAGTGGTGGGAACAAAGTAAGTAAAACAATTCCAGAAATCAATTTACCATCAAACAGGGAGAAAAACACAAATACCACATACAGATATAAGAGAAACATAAACAAAGTGCTTTTTTAGAACTTAAGGATTAGAGGGATCACACTGAATTAAAGGGAACCACAGATAACTTCCTAAGGGAAGTAGCACCAGCACCAGGTAGGTCTTATCGGAAAGAAAGGGAAAGGGCAGTAAATAGTGCAACAATAAGCAATGATATAGAGATGGAAAAATGAAAATATATTTGAAGAATACATATTCAGTCTTTGGTTGAAACACTGAATGGAATAATGAAAGATAAAGCTGGGTCCTCTATAATGGGATCAGTAGAGGAGATCTCATCTCTATTTCTTACTCCAGTTCATCTCCCTGTTACTTCTCTCCTATTCTCCAACTATACTGAACTATGTGTGGTCCTCTTTCAATCTATAAGTTTGTTGTGCCTCCATGACTTAAAATATGCAGTTCATAAACTCTTATCCCATATAACAAAACCTTATCTTTCTCCAAAACTGAATTTAAATGTCACTTCTGTGAAGTCTGTCACAGCTCTATCCTAACAATCAAAAAAATTAAGCCCATAGATGAGGGTGAGAAATGCTTACCAAAATCAATCAGTAAAACAAGTTCTTAAAAGGTTGGCTTGTTCAAAGCTCACAGGGCTAATAAAAGGTAGAGATGAGCCGAGAATACACAGCTGATAAGTCCAGATCTAATCATCTTCCCATTTCCCCGATTATTCAATGGTAATGTGAAAGAGTCGTATTCGGGGTTTGCTGTTCACACATCAAATACAAATCACAGCGTTCTCTTGGCCCACTAGTTGTATGGAACGAAAGGGCTGTGAAAGAGACAAGGAAAGGAACAAATATTAAAGAAATAATGCGAAAAGGAAGTAACAGATTTTATTTCCATGAATAATAATCAGAGAATTCTCACCTAGAGAAATTGCAACATATTTTGTCACTGCATTCACTCATTCAACATTCTGAGTATCTACTACGTTCTCAGCCTTCACGCACCGCTGGAGATACTAGGATAAAAATACACAGTCCTCGACCTCAATAAATTCCTCATCTAGTGGAACCACTACCTTTTTAACTGCGGTAACATTAATACTGTATTACGCCCTCTTGAGTTCCGGTAACCAAGTTTTCAAAGCCAGGCTCACCGACCAGGAGCCCAAAAGTCCCAGCCCTGCCACACCACATCCCGGTCAGCAGCTTCCAATTTTCAGAAGTCCGGACCTTCTGGGCTCCGCACCCAGCCACTCACCGCGCACTGACAGCGGAACTTGAACTTGTCTCTCCCCTCTCGCTCCTCCCCGGCCTGACTTACGTCACCCAGGAGCGCCGGGGACGCGGGAATAACGCTATTAACGGCACTTCCTTGTCACGTGACGATTACGCCCCTCCTTGCGCGTGGTCCCACCCCCTCAGGCCGCGGTTGCAATTACGCTCTCTACCACCTGCAGTCGGTGGGTCGCCGCAAGCGGAAGACACGCCGTTAACCGGGATCGGAGGAGCCCTAAGCCAAACGGGTGTGACAGATAGGATTCCGGAGATCTTCACCGCACGAAACCGGAGAGAGGAAACGAAACAGGCGGGAACCGGTGGGGGAGGGAGGGAACTAACGGAAGGTGTCATGGCGGCCGCGCTCTGGGGTCACGTGTCCCGCAGGCCCGCCTTTGTACTTCCGGTCACGTGCCCTCAGAGACCTCGCAGCCAGCGATGGAGGCGAGACCCCCCAGTAACAGAGGCGGTGGCGACGGCTGCGGCCACTGGGTTTCAGCGGCTTCCCAGCAGCAGCTTTAAGCTCAACGGAAGTCGACCCGATCCAACTCAGTTACTCACTCCTAGCCGGAGGCTGTAGCTTCCACCTGGTAAGTTTAGACCGAAGAATGCGGGCAGGTGGGCGGTGAGTAGCTGACAGGCCCGGGGGGTCGCGGGACGGCGCGTATTCTGCACCTTTTCCCAGCGTCGCTTTTGCCGTCTCCACACCGTCTAAGATTGCCGCCTGCTTTGCCCTTATTATCCCGAAGTAGGAAAGAGGCGACCCGACCCTTAATCTACTTGTCTAAAGGAGTCCTGCCCTTCCACGGAGCAGGGACTCCATCCAACGCCGGGATCTGACTTACTTCATGAGAATGAAGGAAGTGGAGGCCCCTCCCGGGCAAAGAGGTCCTTCCCGTTAGGAAACGTACTGTAGAGAGTCTTTCGGTTTCATTAAGGAAAGCTCTCACCTTGGTGGCCGAATGAGCTCGTGCTTCCACCTGTCAGTCCTGCCGCCTTTAAAATTTTTATTTACACGTGAGCCAACCTACACACTTCCAGTTTTAGTCATTCCCGATGTGCTTGTCATGTAATGAAAAAAAAAATGGAAATATATAATTATTTCACAAATTTTCCAATGTTATCAGGCTAAATTGAGTAAGGTGGCTTATCTGATTGGCTTATGTATTTATTTATTGATTGATTGTGGTGCTGTGGATTAACTCAGGAACGCGCTACCACTATTGAGCTACATCCCCAGCCCCCTTTATTTTTTGAGACAGGGTCTTGCTGAGTTGCCAAAGCTGGCCAGGAATTTGGCGATTCTCCTTCCTCAGCCACGGAGTTGCTGGGATTGCAAGACCACACCCAGCTGATTGACTTTTTTTGTTGTTGTTTTTATTACTGAGGAATGAACCCGGGGCACTTTACCATCCCTAGCCCTTTTTTTTTCCCCCCTTATATGGAGTCTCTCTAAGTTGCTTAGAGCTTTGCTATATTGCCAACGCTAGCTTCCAATTTGTGATCCTCCTTCCTCAACCTCTCAAACTGCTGGGATTATAGGCATACACCATCATACTTGGCCAGCTGATTGAGTCTTAAATGCCCGTTTTAACATCTGTAAAATAGGAGTGGAAAGAGGTAGGAAAATTTTTTATCCATCAGAAGATCCAATTTAAAACATGAAAATGCCCTGGAGATGTAGCTCAGAGGTAGGACACTTGCCTATCATGTCAGAGGCCATGGGCTCAATCCCCAAAACAGCCAAAGAAACAACAAAAAAAGACCACCAAGAGTGGTTTAAGGGCTGGGGTGGTGGCTCAGTGGCAGAGTGCTTGCCTTACACGTGTGAGGCACTGGGTTCAATCCTCAACAAAACATGAAAATAAAGATTGTGTACATCTACAACTAAAACAATGTTTTTTTAAAAATTGGTTTAAAATACACTTTGCAGTACTGGCTCCATACAACCCAATATTCTCTCATTATACAGAGTTGTGATTTTTAAACTTTTTAAAGGAATTAAACAATTTCTCCCCGTGAACTCTTATCTGGAATGCCAGTATGTAAAGCAGCATGCTTTGGTGGAAGGCTACACCAACTTAGCCTCCCCTTTCCTAGAGGCTAATCTTTATTAAGACAAAGTTGCCAATCCTAAAATTTTTAACAGCTAAAACCATAGCTGTGAACGTGGAGAAGTCTTAACAGCAGGGAAAATAACCTCTAGGAGCAGGCCTAAGGTTTACAGAAGGACTGGGCTCTAGGGAGAACTTAGAACCTCTAAGTAGTTTTAAATCCTTAATTCTTAAAGGGAGAGATGGTTTGCTGCCCTTACCCAATTGACCTTTAGCAGCATGACACAATGATAGATTTGAGTCTCTCTTAAGTGATGTTAAATGCACATTGCAGTGCAAATGTGTAAAAATAATTAAAGTGAATGCTGAGAGGGCTCTTTAATAGAACAGATTGGTACAGTCAGAGGGAGAAAAATCAGTTAAAAGTAGAGGCAAATATCTGACTTCAGTAGGTTGTGAATGCTTCATATGTGTACTGCTCACAAGGCTTTTATCTTCTCCCTGCTCATATATTATTTTAAAGCCTGTTTGTGTGTGTGTCTGTGTGTATGTGTTTCTCTTGCCATCAGAATGTTGTATGGTGTATTTGAGATCCCTTAACCCTTTGACCACTGTTTCTACCTTATGGATATTGCTGTTAGAGATGTCACTGTGCTCTTCCCCCTTTCTCTCCTCCTACCTTTAATGTAGCTGTGTCAGCCATTGATATAATATTCCCTCTTTGATTACCAGATGATGATTCTTCACTTTTGGTACTCTTGTCAGTTTTTGTTTTGTTTTGGTTTTGTTTTTTTGCAGTGTTTACTAGTGGTCATCAGCCCATTTTCCTCTATTATGCGTCTGTATGTCATATATTCCTCTTGACTGTCCCTGCACTGCTGTAAAGTGAAAAGGTACTTGGCCCTAAAATTGCCACATTAGTATTCTCCTTAATATACTTGTTGGGAAAACATCCTTAAAGGAATACGTTTTGGTTACTTTTGACATACTTATAAGTTGTTATTCCCTGTATTGTTGAATTATTAAAACATTTTTTGATTGCTTGATACAAATAGTATTCCAGATCTCTTGTCTTTTATGTTGGTAGATAAAGCAGCTTTCTCTGGCAATTCTCCTATCTGAAAGGATAAGGGTGATAGGAGTTTATATTTTACGTGTTGTCTTTTTTCTCCTCCATTTATCTCTGCACTTTTAAAAAGTGTATGTAGGTGATGGAAATGCACAGATGCAGTAATTAAAAGATTTCTGCTCAACCATTTTAAATTCTTGCTATCCCTATTTCCTTAGAGGGCAGGATCCAGTTGATGGAATCTGTGTGAGAAATGGTGCTCTGATATGTGAATTGAGGGCTCTAGTGCTTCCTGGAGTTGAGCCTAGGATTTATGTGCAAAGATTTCTTGTGTCTTGCTGAGACTGGATTCTTTTAAGAACAAAGATCTTATAGAGATTATCACAGATATTTGTTGGATTCTTCCTAGGAGTCAAATACTAGGCTGCTTGGTGCTATACTATGAACACAAGTGGCCTCTGCCTTCCTTTATTAAGTTTGCAGTTTGTCAAATTTGAAGAATTTAAAGAATTACAGAAAAAAAGAATTACAGGGACTGAGGCTGTAGCTCAGTGGTAGATGGCTTACCTAGTATGCATTAGGCCCCTAGTTTGACTTCCAACATCGGGAAGAAAAAAATGTAGTAAGTGCTATGGGGAAATAGCAAATGTTAGCTAATAATTTGGGGGTTTGTTGGTGTTTGGTTTTGGTTTTGGTGGTGCTGGGGGTTCAATCCAGAGCCCAACATATGCTAGGCAAAAGCTATGATTTTGAAGTTTAGAGTACTATACTGAAAAATATGCGTAAAAATTAGCCAGTTAATGGGAAAATGTAGCTTCAGGCAAATAAATTTTTAACTGCATATCAATACTTTTTTGAGAAGGTCTTGGTATAAAAAAAGATATGATAGGGCTGGGGTTGTGGCTCAGCAGTGAAGCATTTGCCTAGCAAATTCAAGGCCCTGCCTCAGCACCACATAAAAATAAACAGAATAAAACTATTGTGTCCAACTAAAAAATAAATATGAAAAAAAAAGTTACGACAGTATTATCACAAAGTAATCTTTTAAGTAAAGCTAGATCTTCATTGACCGGACTTGTTTAAATATAGCCTACAGCAATATTTCTCATAAACAGAATATTTTGTGGCTCTTATTGAGTTCTACTGGGAAGACCTGTTTGCCTCCCAAGGAAACTCCCTCAAGAAAAATCACTGAAGCCATTTAGAACAACCTCAGAGGTTCATTCTATTAACCCTCCTAAAATTGGTACATTTGTTCTTGAACAATTAACAGAAACACTACAGATGATCGGGGAAACTTGCCAAGCAAATTAACTGAGACAATTGACCATTGTGCCCAGATTCAATAATTTGTCTCTGATTTTTTTTTTTTTTTTTAAGGCCCCCCCTTTTTTTTTTTTTTTTTTTTTTTTTTTTCTTTCCTGGTGGTGGTGCTGGGCATTGGAACCCAGGGCTTCATGCATGCCGGGCACACAGTCTACAAATTAGCTGCATTCCCAGCCCTCCCCCAAGTGAATTTTAATAGGTTTCACATGTTATGTTATATAAGCGGTTATGTTTTTCCTGGTTAATTTAAAGTAGCTGATTCAAAATCAATTTATACAGTCCCATGAATTCTTCACTTTACAGTTTCTCTGTCTTCACCTACTTACTTTCTCATCTTCTCAACTTGGAAATTTTCTGTTCTTTTCCAAAGCTAACACTTTGCATTTGTGCCTGTAAGCCCAGTTAATTGGGGACTTGCTCTATCAGCTACCCCTGTTCACTGTTTTTTCTTCTAATTACTGAAGTGCTTTAAATTATTTAATAATTATGTGGTAACCTCCACCAACTCTCCTCTCCCATCTTTGTCAGATTTTAACTCATGTTTCCTAAAATGTTATTTGTATAGCATACAGTATAGTTTTACAATTTCAGGATGGGCTGTTTTCTTTTTCTTTTTTATGGACA